GGGGAGGGAATGGGGATTTTGCAATATCCTTCCCCTGGAGTGGGATGGGAATGGAGATTTTGCAATATCCTTCCCCCAGGAATGGGGATTTTGCAGTATCCTTCCCCCAGGAGTGGGGAGGGAATGGGGATTTTGCAGTATCTTTCCCCTGCCACGCCCACCAAGCCACATCCACAGAACCGGTAGTAAAAAAAATTGAATTTCACCCCTGCATAACCCTCTCCCTCCCCTCAGAAATCCACATTTCTTCAGTAAAGAAAACAAACAAAAAAAAGCTGACATTCCCTTTTAAAATCCTCATTTGCTAAATTCACTGCATGCCTAGAAAAAGGGTGACAATAATCTCTAAAATACTCACCTTGACTCCAGGCTAGAGTAAAAGAAAGAAACAGAGAAAATATTTTTGCAGCATTCCTGGAAGGCGCCGAAAACATCTAAAACACAAATGTGCAGCAAATGGCTAGGCCACAAACTTTGTCCTAAAAGCAGTCGGACAGACAGCAAAGGTAGAAACTGGGTTCTAAAGGCAGGCAGGCAGCACTTGGAAACTTGAAATCTATTTCCAAATTTAGCAAATGAGGTTTGTAAAAGGGATAGAGATTGGAGGGCAGAGGCGGAGTTTAGTTTCAACACATAATGGGGGGTGGGCAGTCTCCCCCTCCCAGGTTGTTTGTTTTCTTTATTGAAGAAATGTGTGTTTCTGGGGGAGTGGGGGCTAAGCAAGGGGAAGGTTTCGGGAAGCTCATCTGAAGCTGCTGCCTTTGTATACACACAGTTGATTTCCCCAAAGCCCAGCAAGAGCCAGGAGATGGCCAGCTGATCGGAGCAAAGGCCCTGCTCACAAGTGTGAGGTTTCCTTGGGAAGCCATCTAGCTAGGCTCTTCCCCCTGCTTTTCAAAGCTTTTGCTGCTTGTCTGCTTCTGTCAGAATATTTATCACTGGGAAGACATGGTAACAGGGTCAGCCAATGAATAGGCATACCAGCTAAGTCAGCCAATGGGAGCTGAAACAGTTTGGAGTCTGGGCGTGGCTTAGCTCTGAGTGCTGTGCTGAGAACTGAAACAAGTCTGGTCTTGTCTGCACTCTGAATAAAAACGGAAACCAATCTCTCCTCTCTATCACGTTGGAAGAATCAGCTATTGGTATTGTACAATTACTCATATGTTGTTATGTATATAAAGAAGTTAATGAATCCTGCTGAATCAGTTATCTGTGTGTGCTTTCTGGATGTGATTTTTGCAACAAACTCTGACAGCTTCTTTATACAGTTGGGTATCAATCTAATTATTTGGAAATTGTCTGTTATGCAAGTCTTTGGAGAATTCATTTCTAGGCTTCTCAGAAGTGGGTCTATCTTCTCAAGAGCCCTTATTCGGAATAAGGCCTTCCTAGGACAGGTTGTGATAATAGTAGGAAAGAAGACAGGTGACCAGATCTTATGTCCTGCTTGACTAATGGTTCCTCAAGTGCTTCATGTGCACAGCAGTCCTGCCTATACATACCTCTCCTTTGAAAAGACGGGCTTCTCCACATTAAAATTCACGTTTTGGAGGAGAAATGGGAATGCTTTCTTTAGTTCCATCCTTTCTCCCCCAGGATGACAGGGAAGGGCATTGAAGTGTTTGCAATTAAAGTTGTAGTGCTGACATTCTTGTCGTAGGAAGGCAAGGGGGTAGATGGGCATTGCCTGATTCTAGTTATTTTCATGTCCAAATCTCTCATAGATTTGGAATTTGAATCTGAATTGCTATCATCTTTGCTTCAGGAAACTTCAAAATCATGAGATAGGCAATTCTCTCTCCAACAGAGAAATGGAAGAATATAAACCCCCATGTTGTTTGTCCATGTTTGTCGTAAAAATGAAGCAGCAACATGAATTGCTATTATTCTCCTGCTGCAGCCAAGCTGGTATGGTATAAACTCTCAAAAATTGACAATGGTGTCCAATCTGAAGCAGATTCTAAATTAAGACAAAACCTCATATCAAGGGTCTCCAATTCTGAAACTGGTTTTTTTTAAAACCAGAAGAAAGCTTTTACTACGGTACAACTAACTTTTACTTAATATGGGCTAGTACTAGTTCAAGAAATGAATTGCTGATAAATTAGCAATCCTGCTGCATTCTTTTCTGATTCTGCCCGGAAGACATGATTTGCCTCTGGCTTCCTACAAGCCTCATAGCCCAAGAAGTAATTATGATTTCTCTTTTGAGCACATTCTTTCCACCCTGTCTGCTAACTCATTCTAATAAAGTTATTGGATGCACAAATAGTACACTTCACATATACATAGTTTTGGAAGATGGTCAAAATACCACTTCCAATAGCTATGCCTGCATAGGGTAAAGAGGTAGAAATGTTTATTTCATTTGATCTCAGTGTCCATAACAAATAAAAGAGATTTCCCCCCGCCCCGCAAACTTAGCTAGGGCAACCTACCAAGCCTGAACTTAGGTAGCAATTGCAACACACTAAGCCAAAACTAAGCAAATCCAATGATAACTTCTCAGCCAAATGTAAAAAAAAAAAATTGAATATGTACAAATGTTAATTCCAATAGACAAATATGAGGGAATGGAATGTTGCAGCAGTCCTATCAAGTATAATAAAAAACAGAACAGGTTTAGACCACAGTGAAGTTAAAAATATCACAAATAGCGAGGCTTTGTTGTAAAGCTGCATCTTCACAAGAGGTTTTTATACAAATTCATGTTATAGTACTGAAGATTTAATATATATCTGGAAAAGAAAGGAAAAATCATATTCCTGCAATGCTCATTATCAAAACAATGAAAACTTTCCTGGTTTAATTACATTCTGAGGTAGGTAAAATGAGGACTCAGATTGTTGGGGGCAACATGCTGACTCTGTAAACCGTTTAGAGAGGACTGTAAAGCACTGTGAAGTCTAAGTCTAAGTGCTATTGCTCTTAAGCAAAACACACATTGGAACACATGCTGCCAAAATATGTGAATGCTGTAAAGCAGCAAAACGGGTCCCCCTAGACCAGGGGTCTCAAACTCAAGGACCAGATCCGGCCCGCAGGTGCTTAGAACTGGCCTGCGGGATCGTCCTGGAAACAGCAAAGGACTGGCCCGCGGTGCCTCTGCCAGCGAAAATGGAGCTCAGAAGGGCCACGTGAGGGTTGCAGATGGCCATCCCAGCCAAAAACGGAGCTTGAGAATCTGTTTTTGCTGGCGGAGTGCTCGGGCCACCATAGGCGCCCCTGACACAAGTGACATCAAGCTGGCCACACCCACCCTGGCCATGCCTCCTGGCCTTCCCGAAGTCAAACACAACCCTGATGCGGCCCTCAATGAAATAGTTTGACCACCCTGCCCTAAACCGAGGGCACAGATAAACCTCCAAGTGGCCTCAACAAGTCTCAGACCAGATGACTGCAAGGAATATAAATCCTTCCATTCTCCACCACAGTCAGAAGTGAAGCTTTTTGGATGAGAAGCGAAATGTCTTCAAGGAAAAACAAAGTCCAGTTGCCTTTTGAAAAAGCACTTTTGGAATATTAAAGCTACACAACATATTTTCATTGCACAGAAACCTCCTAATCCAACTGGATTTAGTTTAATTGAAGTAGATGGGAACTGTTGACTAGAAAACTACACACACTTGTGCATGTTGTTGCCAGGAGTCAAGAAGGACTTGAAGGGACAAGCATATATGTTGAGTCATAATGCCTTTCCTCAGACCAAGGTGATTAGTAACTGGAGGGGTCCTTGGTGCTCTCTAAGCTTGCTTTTTTTATTGCAGAATTTTCAGTAACCAAATTAGGTAACATCGTCAGTGCAAGAAAACAAGCTCAGAAGCACCAAGGACCCCTCATGTCAATCCTGAGCTACAAATATTCTTCTTTATTGATGATTAGTAACTGTTAGCCCTAGAAGCTGTATAAGGCTGTAGCTGGTGAGTTGCTTGCTAATATACATTCATAAGCATGCAAATAATATAGTTTATTCTTCCAAATGTTTACAGTGCTCATTTTCTAGAAGACTTAATAACTGTAATGTTCAATTAGTATGAAAATCAAAGTATCTGATTTCTAGCATTCACACTGAGCATCATCTATACAATGTCCTTTTAAGAAGTCAATAGTAAATGCAGATGGCCTAACATCTGGCATTGGCAAAGGAACCGTATGTAGCTGAGGGGCCGGTTGCCTGTTCTGCTTTAAATACCCAATTTCATAAAGCAACCTGTTAGTTTCTTTGGTTATGTACCTAAGACAGCTATGAACAGCAAAAACTGCTATTGTGTGTTTCCCTTTAAATAATTCTGTTAAATTGAAAAATTGAAGGAGCTCAACAGAAGAGATCCATTCTAAGACTTCCATGTGGTATAGAAAATATGAAGCTATATAGTGGCGAAACCTATAAGTTTAAGCAATCAAACAAAAGTTAAGTTCAGAACTTGAAAAAAAAATTCTTATCCTGACCACCTGAACACTCTTCTCCTTTTTTCCCTATTAAGAGAATGGACTTCCTTGCTACACGGTCTACACGGTGAAGTGTGAAGTATGTGAAAAACACCTTAAAAGAAATAAATGGGATTCTAAAAGAAAGCTTTCCATCTGCTGAGCTTTCTGAACTTTATCTTATTGTCAGTAAACTTGCTAAAAGACAACCTTGCTTTCAGTTGAAATGGGTTCTCAAGTATATGAGCAAAAGCCTGTTCCGAGTTTTAAGAAAATAAATTTAAATCTAATTCATCAGCTAACCCAAGGACACAGTGTTTCCCTCTTTAAATTCGGTAATAAGACCGAATTGGAGAAGCAGATTCAAGTTTGTGGATATGAGAGACAAAGAGAAGGGGGAATATAAATGAAAAAGCAACTTCACGTCATCATATTTTTGATTTTGTACTTTTAAACTTATTTGCATATATGTTCAGAGTTGGTTCCGATTGGATGGGCATATAAATTCTGCAGATTTATATAATGTAGCAGGTATTACAGATACATGGCAAGTTTCAAAGAGTTTGGCACACTTTCAGAATTCTTGAAGTATTTTATTAACTGTTACCAAGCATACTCAGCACCTTGAGAAGTCACCTGTTGATTTGTTATTTTTTTTTTCTTCATTTTGTTATCCCTTCGAATAAAAGTTTTCATGTCATTCCTGCAAAGGAGAGGCACTGGTTTCTTTGCTTGCAGGAAAGATTAACAATGGCTCTTTGTAATGATGGGTATAGACTCTTAAACAAAACAAAGAACACTACCCAGGAATCACTGATTAGTTATGTTAGTTCTAGAGAATGTTGAGATATAAAAAAAACCTTTTCATTCAACAGTATTTACAGAACATTTGTATGGTAATAAATAAGTCATTACAATTACTACAGCCTGTTCCACCAGATCTCCCCCCCTCCCAATCCCAAATGTTATATGCTTCCTACATGAGAGACACCCACATTTTGACTTATTCCTAAGGTTGGAAATGGTGAGTCAGTGGTCTTTGCATTGTCCTGCCTTGCTCATAACTAAAGCAGGAATTACTAAGAGCTCAGTGCTTCCATCAGTTTGTAATAGGTGAACATCCAAGGCAGAAAAAGGAGGAGAACAAAGGCTCAAAAGTGCTTCAAATATTAACCATATTGAGGGCACAGAACAGTGATGCTGTCCCCTCTCATTTCAAGACCAGTTGATAACCAAGTTCAGTGCAAATTTTAATTAAAAAAAAGTTCTTTCATGCTGAACCACTCACCCTTCCTGTGAGGAAAGGATCCATTCTACATAAACCCCTGTGATTTCTTGTGTTGTCACTTTTTTAAAAGTTCAGTGGCTCCGTTTCACATTGAGCTTGTGCCTTTCCATCTACGCCAAGCCAGCCTCTTCTTCTTGCCTTGTTCTTTTTCCTCCAGATCCTCCTTTGTTACTCCCAGGAATCCAATTCTAGCACAGCCACTGACTCACTTCATTTCATGTCCGTCCACTGGAGCTGGATAAGTGATGGTTTGTGTTGGAATTCACAAGTCTCTTTGCAGCACAGTGCGTGTGGACCACAGTGTCGTTGGGATACCGGACAAAGGCAGGTTCACAGAAAGGTTTCTGGCACACCTGGCAGAGCTTTTTGTCAGAGAGAAGGATTGGGCTTTCTCTTAGTTTCACCTAAAAGCAGCAAGAAGAAGAGAAAACATCTGTAAGGTTCTTCCAATTTTGTTTTTGCAAAGCCACTGTTGGTGAGGTAAGAAGTTGACTAGAGGAGGTTGAATGACCATTCTCTTACACTGGCTTTCAGCATTCATCGCGATACAATTCTAATGTTCCTTTAGGGAAACCCTAATACTTAATGGAAATGATCACACTAGATCTTTGACAGCACCCTGGCAAAGGCTTCTTTGAGGATTGGTTGGATCCTTGGAAAGCTTGGGAATCTAATTAGTGGAAAGGGAAAAGTAAATAAAATTCAAGAAAGGTAGACCCACTCCTGCTCACACTTTTTAATACACAAATAGCACAGGAAGGAGAGATAAGAATCATAAATTATCATGTACATATCAATCAGAGTATGTTGTTCTACGATGAATTAAAAAGGAGAAACTTGCAAGCAAAACCCCCCGTTAATTAGCCCCTATAAACCTACCTTTTCATGCTTGTAAATAAGGTTCTCAGCTTTCGCTAAATTCAGTGCAATCTCAGCCATTCTTTGTGAATGGAGACTTTCCCTCATTGCACCCATCAGAAACGAGGAGAGAAGCTGTACAGACCAGCTGGCAGGAATTAGCTGCAAAACCCATGCAGCATCAAATTCAGCTGCATGATTGTTCAGTAGGTCAATGGCTGCTATATTCAGTTCATGGTTGGGTGTGCTGGAATTGAGATATGTTGAGAGCAGCATATGAAAAAGCTTCCGTCTGTAGGGAAGGCCTTTGCTCTCGGAATTCCATAGGCAGTAGTCCTCAGCGGCTGAGAAGTCCTTCAGTTCATGGACCAGAATCTGTAGAGCTTTGTCATGTTCTTCTAGCTTCCCATACAGTATTGCACACTCAGCATGAAGATCTGTGCCAGCAATTTTATCTGCCAAATGTAAATTTAAATATAAGCTTTGTAAACAGAAGGGATGCTTATTTCACTTGGGTTGGCCTGCAATACATTTCATATCCAGATATTTTATCTCCTTCCATAGATCAGGGGTCTCCAACCTTGGCAACTTTAAGCCTGGCGGACTTTAACTCCCAGAAGTCCGCCAGGACCTTTGCTGGCTAGGGAATTCTGGGAGTTGAAGTCCGCCAGGCTTAAAGTTGCCAAGGTTGGAGACCCCTACCATAGATGCACACCTCTCTCAAAATACTTCTACATCTAGTGAAATGAATCACAGTTCATGAAATCTACAATCAATCTGTGAACTTTTAAGGTGCTACAAGACTCTTGATTATTTTATGCAATAAAAAGTCAACTGAAAAATACATTCAGAGCAAGATGCCTACTAGAGTTCTGACCCATCATGACCTCTCATAAAGCAAAACTGGAGTGTGTGAATTCACATTTTGTTCTGAAGATATGTCCAAAACATTACACATGCAGTATACATATAATAGTAGGGCATCATGATTATTCATCACAAAAGACTGATAACACTAGTTTAAAACAATATTTTTTATCAGCCTTTTCAGTAGAAAAGCACGTTTGCTTGCTCAAAACAAAAACATACAAAATTATAGTCTACTTGCATTATAAAGATGATTTCTTTAAATTGAATCCAAGTGGATAATCTAAGAGATAATGTATCCTGACAGCAGTCATATTCACATATCAAGTGACTGCTCTTCGAGGATGGTTCTTAGACAAGCTCAAAATATTACTTACTATTATGTAAATATTCTTAAATATCCTTAAATATTTTAACAGCTATTTAAATTAAGTAATCAGCATGAACAGTACCTCTGTCACAATCTAGGTGACATGGAAGTAAGCAAAACATTTATCATCACAATCTGCCTAACAATAAACTTTACCCAAACCTTTGCCACTTATAAATAAAAATTCTTAGGGTGAGGAGAATTCTTCCAGGCATATTTTGCCAACATGATCACAAATCATATTGGAGAAATGTATGATTTCTTACACGTAAGGCCCAATGCTGAAGAACTATCTACTCTATTTAATTTGAATCAACTATTAAATCTTTTCTGATATAACAGGCAAATGGAGAACAACCTATTTCTCTTCTAACTACACAGATATGTCACCTCTTTAGAAATCAACCATACATTTTAGAAATGAATTTTCCAACCATATTAATGCTTCTTCCATGGTTGACTCCCAAAATGCACTCAGAGGCAATGACTGATTACTTTAACCTCAATGCTTTTTTCTACATGGGAGAATAAAGCTGTCTAATTCCCAAATGTTACAAACTTCATGAAAAAAAGGTTTAGCAAAATACTGTACAACACTTCCTGAATCTTAGAACCTAGATTAAAGTATACTCCCAGATCCTTAAAACATATAATAGTTCAAGGAAAGTTACGTTAAAAATGGCAACATAGGATCTTGGTTCCATTTCAATTAAGGTTTAATACAACCAATTAACAGTCATCCTGGAGCAGTATTCAAGTATTCTAGCGCTAATTAATGGAACCATTTGTAATGGGGCAGATTAATATACATCCTTTTACCCTAAACAACCAGTATTGGCTGTTTGCTAGAATTAAATTTCTCAATATCAAATATTGTGGCAATATACTGTATGTTTTCTAATAATTACTTGAACTGCTTCGTATTGCATTTTACCAGACTTCAGATTTCAGTTTGTTGGATCAATTATGAGTTATCCTGAAGCCTAAACTGACTATAAAGCAACAAAAACTGGTCTCAATACAAGATCTTAAACATAATTCCTCAATAACATAACTTCACATCACGTTATACCTTTCTTGGCATCATACCTTTGAGCCTCTATAATAAATTTCAGACTGTAGATTCTGTTTCTTGGCAGCCCACCAGACAAGAGACACAAAAGGAGATAAAAATGTGTATGTGTGTGTGAGGGAGGGAGGGAGGGAGGGAGAGAGAGAGAGAGAGAGAGAGAGAGAGAGAGACAGAGATGATAGATAGATAGATCAAACATTTTGGAGTCTGGCAGTACATATCAGGTCAGCCCAACATTGGACTCAAAAGCAATAGATTAAACCCTGAAAAGAATAAATTTCTTGCTTCTGATTAATGTAGTTTGAAGTGTCTTACCTAAAATGAAATGAACTCGGTAAAGGTCAGATCTCTGCAGAAGACTGCGTAGTTTTGTCTGCATTTTTGTTAGCTTCCCCTGCCTCTTGGCATCCAGTGACTTCAGATGGAGCACTTCATTGAGGTAAAGCACTGTTAGATGGGTATGGTACTTTTCTTTCTGTGAAAATAAAAGTAACCAAGCCATCCTCAAAACAGTTTTCATACACCATTTTTATCAATTATTTCAATAAAACTCAAAGTATTAAGACATAATGTCAACAGCTTCTATTATTTAGCTGTGTTAAAAGTATAATACAGAAAAAAACAAAGTCATGATCAAAGTAATTCTGGGAGAACAATATTTTAATTTCTAAAGTTGTCCAAATATATACCTCTGAGATTAAAGGGAAGTTAAAGAAAATTAAGTCAAAATCTTTATTTCATATCTGTGCTGCAGTGCACGACACAAGTACAGCATTAGACAAAGCAGAGAAGGATACCTATTTTTATAGGATTTTATCTAGTTTTTTTTTACGCAACTACAGAAACTAACAGAGGAAATAATGTAAAAAGTAATTCTTTGTTTTTAAATTTATCACGTGTACCATAAATACAAAAACTTGTATGTGTATTTAAAAAATGTGAATTTTATGCCATTTCCACCATTTACTTTTAGTTTAGTTTAGTTTACTTTTACAACATCCAATGTCATTTGGCAGTTCTACTTAGAATTTGAATAAACAAGGGGGGATGAGAGAGGGTTCAACCCTCAAGTTACCCTACAGAGAATAAGAGAATTAGACAAAGATGTTGAATATAAAACACAAAATGTAAAGGCACAAGTATAGCTTGGAACATTCAGACAAACACATTTACATAATTCCTTTCAAAGCATTGATATTCTACAGAAGTCCTCACCCAAACTTACTTTTATTCTTTTCTCTAGAACTAAGTACTCCAAGTATTTTACTAGTGACACGGGATATTTTTTAAGGCATTTGATGACATCATCTGGGTTAAAGCTGTTTTTCTCTTGGTCTTCCAGGGGCCTTTTAGTGAAAATGTATACACCAACCTAAAACAATATAACATTTAGAGATTCCAGAACTGGATAAGTCCACTTGACAGACAATTCACAGATTGTTCTGAAACACTTGACTCTTTTCTTGCTTTATTCATATAGAAATTTAAAAAAACCTCATTGTGTAACAATGACCAAAAAAAAACCCAGAATAAACTTGTGCAACATTTGCTAGATACGTTTTTTGGTCACATTTTGTAATACACTGTATTACAACTGAATGTAATATTTGAAAAAATCAAAACAAAACCTAACATATTTGCACTTCCCTCCTTAAAGTGAGGAATACAATTTAGACTTCATAAAAATTCTAGAGAAAATATTGCATTTCCCAGGTATTGAATTCTATGCTCCAAAATCAAGGAAAATAAACCCTGCCTTAAATGCAAGAGGAACAACAAAAATGAAGGTCCCTTTTAGGGTTACACACTAGTACCTACAACTATAATTTCATCCAAATGATAGTTTTGACACCTTAAGCACTGTGACTTTTGCTTGGGGCTTATGACACTGGAATATCAAGGGGACAGCATTAAAGATTTCAGGAATAAAACCCAATGTACAGATCTAATATTCTAGACAAGGTATCCAAGCAACAGCAGTTTTAAAGGATTTAGCCACATACCTCCTCGTTATGCTCTAAGATCCATTCTGCGTACTTCCACACCAATTCATGGTCAGAACAGGAGGTTAGGAAGTCTACGATATAGTCATATAGATCTGTGCGTGTAGAGTCTTGAATCTCCCCGTTGACTATCTGTATCCATATCTAAAGTAAAGAAACAGAAGTTTCATTTCAATCTTTAAAGGACAAATGCTATTTTTCTTTTATTCAGCCCCAGGCTACCCTCCTAACAGGCCCTAAGGAACAGGCCCTAAGGAATAGAGGAGAGCTTCTTAAAGCCATACGTAACAGTTAAGGCTACGCAGTGTTTCACATTCAAAAGCAAGAAGGTGCTTTAGAGATGAAGGTTGATGTTCTGTCCCCCTTCCTCACACAGGCAAACGTAATACCAAGCACACCTGCCAATATTTTATTAGGTAAACAATTAGAATTCTTGGCAGACCAAGGTTTTGGCAGCAAACTGCCGAATGCCTGCCAAGGCTGGTTTCACTCCCATAAAGCAGAAGAGGACTTATCTTCAATCTGTTCCAGGAGCAACAAATTATCCACGACACAAGATTAGTCAATGTTCAGTCCAAAATATATCCAAGCTGAATTTCAGAGATCATGATGTGACTTTCAGGGTTTAACTTTGTCCGTCACAAAGCCTGAAGAGCAATCCCACCCATTTCTGGTGGGGCATGGCTCCGTGACTCAGTTCAATCTCTGGCCCTCCCACGCCTCTTCCGTTGCTGCGCACACTTCTCCCTCCAACACTGCCTGGGATCAAGTCAGGATTCATCATCCTCGCTCCCTATCAATTGGTGCTCGATATGCCTTCTTCCTGGCACATCCCAGGCTGTTCCTCCTGGCCTTCGGATGCAACCTGAGGCATTGCCAGAAAGGAGGGTCCTGGAGAGGGAGGCCTTGTCAGTTCCTTCCTATCACCTTCTGAGTCCTCTTCCTCTGTTAGGACAGGCTCGGGAGTCGGGGTCACAACAGTCACCAGCAAACCACCTAGCTGCTTTCATGAGTTACAGACAGGTTTAACTCCTCACTTCAGATTATAATAGCTTCTTCTTAGTCCACAGAGCAGTGATGGAATTCAAATTTTTTTACTACCGGTTCTGTGGGCGTGGCATGGCAGGTGTGTCAGGGGAAGGATACTGTAAAATCTCCATTCCCTCCCCACTCCAGGGGAAGGTTACTGCAAAATCCCCATTTCCTCCTGATCAGCTGGGACTCGGGAGGCAGAGAATAGATGGGGGTGGAGCCAGTCAGAGGTGGTATTTACCGGTTCTCCAAACTACTCAAAATTTCCGCTACCAGTTCTCCAGAACTGGTCAGAACCTGCTGAATACCACTCTGCCACAGAGTAACCTTATATTCTCTATGTATTTATGTACACATACTCTCACACAGAAACACAAATTCCCTTTTATCTATTGGGGGGGGGAGGCATATATTTCAACCATACAGATCTTTCTTCCTCTCTTTCAATGTACAAATCTTTATTTTATTTTGTGTAGGTCTTACTAAATACCCTCCATTCCCAATATTTTTCCATTTATCTAAAATGTATATTAGAATGGCAATTAAGTTCTCTGCTATTTCATATTAACAACCTTGATCCAAAGTCATGTGATATTTGCACTGAGCTGATTATAGGCAGCAAAACATTTTAAGTTTCTGAAGTGCACACTGTCGCCCCCCCCCTTTTTTTTTTTACATTGGAAAAGTAACTACAGAGGAAATATTACAATAGGACTCCCCAACTTGTGGGCTAATTGCTATTGGACCATGTGAATGGTCGGCCGGTGCATGCGCCTTCACGTGTCTATACGACCCCACTCACATGAGTGTCGTTGCAGGCGCTTGCAACCCCACTCGTGCTAGTGTTGCCACGAATGTCGCAGGCACTTGCATGCACACATGTGATTTCCTCTCCCACAAAATCATACCGGAGAACCGGTAGCAAAAATCCCTGCCCCCCCCCCCGACCAGCTGAGCCGTGCGATCATCAGAGGCTTTTAAAATTTTTTAAAAGAGGTTGTAGAAAAAAATGTTTTTAAAAGGAAAAAAAGCCTCTGCCGATCAGGCAACTCATCTGGGATCGTCAGAGGCTTTTAAAAGCATTTTTTTTATAACCTCTTTGGCCAAAAGAAAAAAATGGTTTTAAAAGTTAAAAAAAAAGTTGGCCACACCCACTCAGTCACATTACCCACCACCACCAAGCCACGCCCACAGAACCGGTAGTAACAAATTTTATATTTCACCACTGATGGAAGAGCTAAACATTTTTAAAAGTGAATAAATAGAAGAGGAACACAGAAATAAATCAAGGATTTCATTTTCTTTGCACTGTCGAAGTGTTTGCTAACAATGAATTTACTGGCTTTAAAAATGTCCACTTGTGACTACTTTGTTGTTGAGTTCTTAAAGTTATCCTACAAGGTTGCTGAGTGTACTTCTTTTGCGCCCTGCACTTACCTAACTTACAGCAAAGCTATCAATGCATGATATAACAACAGGTTTTGTTTATCAGCTGGTTTGTTGCAGAGACTGATGCTGATTAAGGAGTGACTGGCTTAAAAGTTACACAGCAGGCTTACATGCCTAAGGTAAAAGTAAAACCAATCTCCCATCTGCAGGTTCAGGACCTTCATCACTCCACCACAAGTTTTGAATGGACTTAAAGTGGAAAAAGAAAGAGCTAAGCCATTCTGTACACTAACCTGTAGTGCTGCAGCATCTTGACCATTTGAGTGATACAGGAGCCCAAGTGCAAAAAACCTGTACAACAAGGAATATGAAATAGCAAGTGACTTAGGCAATACAGCAGGAATAAGTATGTATTATTTTAAGGACTTGGAGAAAAGTTCGAGAGCCCTTGGTTTAGGTTTTCAATACATCCCGATTCTTCCAGTCTCAGATTAGCATAACTTTATTCCAAAATTTGCCTATAGCATCTACTTCCTCTACAAGGTAGAAGAAAAATGAGGGCTTAGCAATGAAAGTGTGCAAGGAAACAAACTCTATCCATAAGATGGCCTGCTACACTACCTGCATTTCATTTAGATAGCAGAGATTTACCAGGAAGGAGTAATTTTACTAGCTCAGCAAAATTGCCCTCACCTCAGAAAATGGGAGTCCGTCCTGGGCCACCAGTCATGCAATGGTCCTTTGAAAAATTAACTTGGATATATCTTGAAAATCAGATTCTTTCTGATTTATTTAATCCTATCTTTATGAATTTTTATAAATAATTCAAGGTGGCAAACATACATATTAGTTCTTTTTTCCTCCATAGGAACCATGTGAGGCAAGTTGGGCTGAGAGAGAGTGACTGGGCCAAAATCACCCAACGGACTTTCATGCCTAAGAACTCACAGACTCCTGGTTTCTAGCTTGGTGCCTTAACCAATAGACCAAAGTGGCTCTTATGACTTTTATTTCTGTAAGCTACCCGGAGTCACCATGAGTTGGGCAGCCATATAATTTTTCTAATTAAAGAAAAAATAGAATAGAATAGAATAGAATAGAATAGAATAGAATAGAATAGAATAGAAAAGAAATTAGAATGTTGTCACTTTAAATGTACACCAAACATATAAACCAAACAGCATACATTAAATGAAATTTCGTTGTATTCAGCTCTCAAAATATAACTAGTTGACAATTCTAGCAGCAAAATAGTGCACATAAATTTTGAATCCAAAGGATCTAGTTTGGAAAACTAAGATGATCTAACATATGATTCAAACTCTTTGGAAATTGTGAACCATATAAATTTGAAGGCAAAGAAGCAGTAATAGTAGTATGTCTAAGGAGATTCTCAGTCATCCAAGTCATGGTTGTCCCAAAGATGCTTTTACAAAAGACAACAGGACTTTGTTTTTTCCTGAAGACATTTTGCTTCTCATCCAACAAGCTTCTTCAGTACTGACTGAATGGTGGAAGATGGAAGGATTTATATTCCTTGCAGTCATCTAGTTGTTAGCACTTTCTCTGAGCATCTGAAGAACTGAATAAGTTTCTTGGTTGAGAAGTAAAACATATTCAAGAAAAAACAAAGCCCAGTTGCCTTTTGAAAAAGCATCTTTCAGAGTATTAGTTGTAGCTGCGCAGAGGTAGTATTACAGTATCTGTTTGTAAAAGGATTTATTATTTTTTATTATCAAATGATAATAAAAAAGATGGCCACTATGAGTGGCTTATGCCAAAGAGATGCAGGCCTCTGGTTCAGTATACCAAAAGGTGAACAGCAAAGTTGACAGGGCAATTAGGATAAGAGATGTACAAAGCATAGGATTATCTGGGGAATTTTGTGCTTACTTTTTGTGCTTCTCCAACCATGCAGCACTGTCTGCCAGAAGGCAAGAATTCTCAGAGACCAGAAGATCCAGAAGACTTTCATGATTGGACTCTGCATAGAGTTTCAACAGGGCTGTGTCAATATCCTCCTTGTAGCCATTTGTGACGTCAGTGCTGCGGACCTCACTCAGATAGGTCATGAGAAATTGTTTGCACTTGATCATCTTCTCCTGGTCCCCTTGTGTAAGTTGGTTTAGGTCAGCATATTCGTGCAGAGGAGGGTGTGACCGCATGAATGAAGAAGAAGTAGGCAACAGTAAAGGGTAGAGAGAAATCAGCTCGCGGACATCCAGCTGGCTGCTTCTGCAATTATAATGTCAAAGGAGATGTAATAGAAAGGAAGACAAGCATGCCTCACACACACACACGCACACACACTAACAACAATGCTCCTTCCTGGTCATCTCTTGGTTGGATTACTGCAAGATACTCTACCCGGGGCTATGCTTGAATAGTATTTGGAAGCTACAGCTGGTACAGAATGCAGCAAGTTCTGGAAGCCCCTTAGATGGCACAGGTGACACTGCTTTGCATGAGCTACACTGGTTTCAACTTGCTTCTGGGTCCAATTGAATGTGTTGGTCATTACCTTTAAAGCCCTTTATGGCAAGGTATCTGAGAAACATCTCATCCCGATGGGACTAGCCTGATCACTCATTACAGGGGGAAAGGTTTACTTTGGATCGTATCTGCCAAAAATTTTTGACTGGCATGGTCCAGGAGAAAAGCCTTTTCTGCTGTGACGCCTACCCTCTGGAATATACTCCTGTTTGAGGTGAGATCTGCCACCACACTCCTGGCTGTCCGGGAGAGCCTGAAAACTAATCTTTGCCATCTGGCCTGGGGTCCCAAGAGAGATCTGCTACATTGGGGTAGCTGAGGAGGTAGAGAAAATGCCTACCTTCATGCTACCATTGTCTTTTGTTTCTAGCTTCTCTATTTAACTCTCTTAAATTTAATTGCTTCGTACAACTTTTTTACTTATTATATTGTAAGCTGTCTAGAGTCATTGTACAAGTACAACATAAAAAACTAATACACAAAAAATAAAAACAACAAAAAAGACAGTGCTTTCTAATTCAGAAATCCTACACTTGGGGTTTTTTTGTATACAACAGCTGGGTGGCCATCTCTAGCCAAACTTGGTTCGTCTCAAAAAATTAAGATTTACATCCAGTTAATATTTGGATGGAAAACCACTACAAAAACACGAATAGACTGGGAAGTCAGAAAGCTTTCCAGAAAAAAGCGACAAATTACTCCAGCATTATTGCTAAAAAGTTACAGAGATGTAACTTTGTGGACAAATGTCCACTAAATTACTAGAAATTTCATCTGGGCTCAAAGAAATAGTAAATGAATTCTGCTAGGATTGTTAATGTATATCCAATGTGTGCACTTGAAAACTTAAGAGGCAGATTCAGCAAAGAAAACCCAGAGAGGTTTTATAAAAGTATGTTTCAAAATCCTAATCCGACTGTAAATCACTACTTAAAAAAAAAATTCTGCACAAAACAACCTGTTTTCAAATTGTGTGCCCCCACCATTTTTAACAAAATGGAAATTTGTTTGTTTTCTCCTATTATGAACAGAACAATAAAATATCTATTTATAAATTAAAAGTGCTTTTAACAAAGCCAGGCAATAATTTCAATTTCCTTTTTTTAGTCAAAGCAATTTTTTAAATATGACAATGGTTTAAAATACATCATATAATCGGAAAACTTGGACTGTACACATTTCAGATCAATCAAACGGTCATTTGAATAATATATTAATGTAACTGTTTCTTCTTTGAGAACAGCCTACAAAATAATTTCTGCCTGTTTTGATCTTGGCTTGCTTTTACTGTATATCTCATACAGTATACAAGAAACTTGGACTGCAGAGAATGTAAACTGGCCAAAATTGTTATCAACCGCATAACACTGAGAGGTACAGGATGTAATCTAGTTCCGAATCGGAATTTGCTTAGCCTAAATACTCTGCATTAGAAATCCAGCTCCCAAATTTCTCTCCCAAATTCTTCTTGGATTGAGAAATTTAAGATTCACTTATAATTATCAAGTAACTCACACTCAGCTGCTTGAGTAGCAAATACACAATCTTATTTCAGTATTAACTCTCTATCCACTGTATCCAACTAGAAAAGCAAGTGAATCCACCGGCAGATGAGAAAGACAGCAGCTTACAGTCCTGTCACAAGCCCAATGTACAGGAATCAAGATTAGTCTGTTTCCTTGGATATCACTTAAAGACCAGCTCCAATTTCATTTGGTCCATTGACTAAATCTCATGCTTTTTATATGCTTTGGGCCAATGTCCTAAATTTTTTAAAGCCAAATGTATGAACCTAATCAAGCAATGGTGAGCTAGACCAATATTTCTCAATCTTGGCAACTTGAAGATGGGTGGATTGCAGTTTTTATAACTCCCTAGGCAGCATCTACTCATCTTCAAGTCACCAAGGTGGAGAACTAGACTGCAAGAATGTTTCTTACCCCATGGCAGCATTACCTGAAGAGTTCTTTGGCTTCAAGGAACTGGAGCTGTGCAAACTGGATAAATCCTGCTTGCTGCAAAATTCGCTTGTACATTGTCTGCAAAGGAAACAACGAAAAAATAATTTAAATTGAAAAGGCAACTGCTAGAAAGTGACTAATGAACTACCTGGTTTCATTATAAGAAGAAGAAACAACTGGCCCGATTCAGAGGTCATTTGCACATTGTGTGCCTGAGATATAGATTGAGAGAGCTGGGAATGGATTGCCCTTTCACCTTGGGACTGCACAGCACAACAGTCGGGCACCAGCTAGTTCAAAGGAATCCTGAGTACATTCCAAAAAAAGGTAATTGCAGTAGAAAATTCTGCAGGGCATTCAAATGACTTCTGTACTATTATCAAAAGTATGCTTTAAAATGAAGATTCTTCTTGAGAACCACTCACAGGGGAAATAGCACTAAAGTATTAAGTGCACTTACATATCTTAGAGCACTCTTTCTCGACCTTGGCAACCTTAAGATGCATGGACTTCAGATCCCAGAATTCACCAGCTAACCTGCTAGCTGGAGAATTCTGGGAGTAGAAATCCACGCATCTTATAGTTGTCAAGGTTGAGAAACACTGTCTTGGAGAATGAACATGTGTTGGAAAAAATCATAGTTTCACACATGTATGCCGCATGTGCATTTGCAATTTTAAGATCTTGGATGCATATTCTTCCTTCCATGAAATGCTTGCCAAAAGTTCTAGGCACGCAGAAGCACATGTTATTATTTTAATCAATTTATATCACTAGCCATCTTTATTAAGAGGAAATAGAAACAAAAAAAAATCTGAATTAAGACCCAATATTTTAAAGTGTTCCAATTATATTTTTATGGCCATACAATAATTAACCATTTTCAATTATTTAGTCCTTTCACTAGTTCGAGCACAAGCTTGATTAATCCTACAAACCACTCTTGATTTATAGTCCAGATACCCTCTATCAAATATAAAGGTAGTCAAACTATTGTAACTGAACTTTGTTACACATTCAAAACCCAGGCTTCCCGTTTCTGGAAGAAGATAAGCATGTTTACTGGGACACGCCAAGACTAAAGCCACAAAACTGGAATGGAGGTATCAAGACTTAAATTAAAATGACAGTCATTACAGGTAGTCCTTGACTTACAACAGTTCATTTAGTGACTGTTCAAAGTTACAATGGCACTGAAAAAAAGTGACTTATGACATTTTTCACAGTTATGACCTTTGCAGCATCCCCATGATCATGTGATCAAAATTCAGATGCTTGGCAACTGGTTCATATTTATGACGGTTGCAGTATCCCGGGGTCATGTGACCATCTTCTGTGACCTTCGGACAAGCCAAGTCAATGAGGAAACCAGATTCAACTGGGTTATTAATTTATCAACTGCATTGATTCACTGAAGGACTGTGGCGAGAAAGGTCCTCAAATGGGGCAAAACTCACTTAACAAATATCTCACCTTGGAAGAATGAGGTGGAAGTTAGAATGCGATAGAATCAGGTTAGGTGGGAATGGAAAGAGATACTATATAGGTATTAGAATGTAGGTATTAGAATGAAAGATAAATTTGATACTCTAGAACAGTGTTTCTCAACCTTGGTAGCTTGAAGATGGGTGGACTTCAATTCCCAGAATCCCCCAGCCAGCAGCGCTGGCTGGAGGATTCTGGGAGTTGAAGTCCACCCATCTTCAAGCTTCCAAGGTTGAGAAACACTGCTCTAGAATACGATGGTCAGAAATAACTGTACAGCACTAGCACTGTTTAAAATAGTACATATGTTAGTTTGTTTTTATCGTTGTTTCTTGGCAAGTGGAAAGCCAGGACAATTGCACTGTATTCATTATTTTTATATTTAAAACAATAAAAATATATTTAAAAAATAACAAATGTCTCACTTAACAACATAAATATTGGGCTCCATTGTGATCGTAAATCGAGGACTGCCTTCATTTCTCTGATGAATAGAATCTAATGTATATTTTGGCTTTTTATTACTGTAATTATATTTGTCTAATCACATGCACTACCAATTAAAAAGCAATTTCTTAGTAACCATAGTAGCAACTACATTCTATTTAGTACTGCAGACCTACAAGATGATTTTATTAGTTCTGCTGAGGTATTAACTCCATTGGGCACTTCAAGTCCTTTAATTCAGGCTGGTTATCAGAAGAATTTCAGGAATAACTGGTTCCCTAAGTTTGCTTGCCTCCAATTTCCAGCCATTTCTCTTTTTGCATCTTTGAATTTGCAAGCTTTTAGGCAGAGATCCCATTCTTTGATTGTGCTCAGGACAAAAGAACATGATAAAATCACATACTGGAAGGCAAAGCAATTGGATGCCTTTACCAATGCAGGAAAACCAGTTGGATATAAAAAACAGTGTGTACCATGCTTCAAATATGTGAATTATCTTTGATAAATAGATATCAATAGATATATTGGTGACGCATATATTTAAATGTTAAGTAGCACTTAACTGCCAGCTGCCTGCAATTACTGCAAATTCAAATCTCACCAGGCTCAAAGTGAGCCTTCCATCCTTCCGAGGTAGGTAAAATGAGGACCCAGATCGTGGGGACAATAAGCTGACTTTGTATAAAAAGAACACCGCTTAGGGGGTCTGAAAGCCCTACTAAGCAGGTATATACAAAAAGTATGAAGGCTATTGCTTAATGCATTGTAAGCCGCCCTGAGTCTCCAGAGAAGGGTGGCATATAAATCGAACCAATAAATAAATAAATAAACAATAAACACCTTAATCTTTGTAAGTGTGCTAAATGAATACATTGCATAGGTAAACAAGATTTGATGAAGTCAGTTGTCTTCAGGTAAAAACATTTAGATCAAGGGTAAAGCAAGCCACAAGAAGTTTCAAGATGTTTTTTAAAACATTTGTTTTTTGTTTTTAATTTGATTTATATGCCGCCCTTCTCCGGAGACTCAGGGCAGCTTACAATGCGTTAAGCATTGTTAAAATGTTCATTACAATTACAATATCTTAGGGTAGTTCATCACTCCTGACACAGCTAATTTAACCACAGAGCTGGGGAATTCACTCAAGTGCACTCCCAGGATTACTACTGTGCAAACATTTCAAATTTGAACCATTTAAATGTTCACAACACCCCCATACACCCGAACATAAAATAGTTTACTTCAAGGAGCAAAGAGACTGCTTCACACATACAATATTTTTATAATATTAAAAAAAACTTTTGAACTTGTAACAAGGCTTTCTGAACTCAAAGCACGCTTGGAAGTGCATACTGGAAGTACCCCATTTCATATTCAAAGCAAAATAATATTCTTGCTTAAAACAAAAGATTCAAATTCAAAACGTCCTTACCTAGATCTATCTCTTGAAGAAATAATACATTAACAAACACACAGAAGTATATTTTTAACTTCATAGTTATCTGAGTACAGTCAGAGACGTTTTAAAATCAGAGGCAGACCTGAAACTTCTCCTTTGGAATATTCCTTTCGGCTCCCTTTGCTAACACTAGTGCTTCTTCAACTCTTCGGCTGCCCAAAAGGTCTTGAATTTGTTTTTCCAGAGGCAGTGGGACCAAGAAGTATACCCCTTTGGTAGTAGCTACAATTACTTTCCCTAAATTTAAAAACAAAACAAAATGTCCAATTTAAAAAACAAAGCATGAGAGAGAGAATACATATACTCTTTTAAAGGGAAAATAAATATTTCCAACGCTATACAGTAGAAACATACAAAAACGCAGCCATTTTTCTCAAATTCAAATTGTAAAAATATAATTTCTGTTAGGGCTGAATAACTCTCTTTCACCATTTCAAGGGAGAAATAGTGATCCCAGATACAAGTGCCATCAGTTATTCAGAAGGTCTTTATGGTCACAAATGTTTGCTGATCTTTCACAAATAATTTTCCTTTCATTCATTTAGATGAGGAAATGAAACTCCAGTTTACAACCAGATTTGCTGAGGTTTTCCTGTTATTTATATATGATTGCCAACACAAACAGAAGCTTCATGCAGCAGTTAGCAAAAAGTACTTGTGATGTTTAGTGTCTTACACAACAAACCAATCAATATAAAAGAAATAAAGGCAGATTCTGGGTCCTCTCAATCAAACAGTTTTGACTCCTGGAGAAAAGTCCCTGCAGTTTTCTGCAACATTTTTGGAAGTGACTTGCCATTACTTACTATATTCCTAGGCCTGAGACAAAGACCTGGGCCACAGTCAACCAACTGATTGGTTGGTTGGTTATTAAATTTACCCTGTTTCCCCAAAAATAAGACATCCCCTGATAATAAGGCCAATCGGGCTTTTGAGCGCATGCGCTAAAATAAGCCTCCACCCGAAATTAAGCTGTCCCCAAAAACATTTAAACGCAGAGCTGGTAATCAGGTAAGACGGCAAGAGGAGCCCCATCTTGCTCCACACACCCCAAAATAATAAGACTTCCCCGAAAATAAGGCCAAAAGCTTATTTTGGGGTTCAAAAAATATAAGACAGGGTCTTATTTGGGGGGGAAACATGGTATATGTCACCCATTTCACTATCAAGCAACTCTGAACAGTTATTGTGCCCAAGGCAGGATGAAACTCCAGAGTCTCCCACCTTTTAACCCACCACTTCAATCACTAAACCAGACTGATTCTCTCCCTCTTATGTACCTTCAAAATCTTGTAGGATATGCCCATCCTTAAAGGGCAAGGTTTGTTTCTGCTGCTGGTCCAGCATACTGTGCACAGTAATGAATTCTTCATCGAGAGCAATTACATATGGAAAATAGAGGGCAGCCCCAATCACCTTTTCTGACCAGCGAACAGGAGCCCGCTGGGAAATGCCATCCACAGTTGCAAACATACCTGCCAATGTATAAAGAGAAGAAATTAGAACTTTCTCACCCTGAATTCCAAACTCTTGTTTGTATGTAAACCTGCTGCAAAAGCAGGTGATGGAGCATCATGATAATTTCCAAGCATGACCCAAATATATTCTGCTGCCTGAAGAAGTGCATCAGATGTTCCTACTCCATTCTGTAATTTTAGGCTATAGAATTGTAGCATGCTAATTATTTGCACACTGACATGCAATCTTCCAAAATTATCTTGTTTCCTTGATGGCAGGGCTATTGGTTTTCCTTAAAGTATGGCTGCCTCTACAGATTTCTACATTTAATGCAAGATCACAATACAAAGACTCTATTGCCCCAGATCAGTCAATCTCTCTGTGTTTTGGTTGTCCTTTATTCTTATTGCTAGAATTAAATTTCACTCTGAAGCACAGAGTTGGAAGGATCTTAGTTATTACTTGCTCATCTCCTGCTCAATGAAAGAATTATATTATTCCTGGCAAATGGCCGCCCAATTCAGCTACTAGCAGTGAAGGCCTGCCTACATCCTCTTGAAGCAGTTCATTTCATTGTCAAAAAGGTTTTTAATAACAGTTCTTACTGTCAGCATTATTTTGTCACTTACGTGGCGGTTTTTGTTCAGAAATAAGTGCCATGGAGTTCACTAGTACTTACTTTTCAGTGGAACTATTTAGCAATCACAGTTAACACAGAACTTCCTGCATCATATAAAAAAGAGGCAATAGCTATTGATAAAATCCAGACAGTCCCATTTATCAATAGAAAGAAGAGGACAATTGCAGATTCTCTTCTTTATAACATTATAAGCTATTTATCTGGTTAATAAACAAGTTAAATCACATATTTTATGTTTTAACAAGTTTTTGCATACTTAAATAAGAAATTCATCCCAAGAATTCTTATTCCATTTATGAAGAGCAGTTTCATAAAAATTGAACTGATTACCTTTCAGAAAATTCAAGCAAATCAGAATTTTGAAGCCGAAATTCTAATTTTAAATACCCATAGTAGAAATGCTACTGTTCTATGAAAAGAACATTAAAAACATTTAATGACAGCTTTTAGATGATATTTAACAAAGCTTATCTATTTGCTCTTTTATATTTTTACTCCATTTTACTATTGCTATCTTGATTCTTTTGCAGAATGTTAAGGATTTTAGATTCAGAAAGTAACCAATTAGAGTTTATTTAATACTTTAATCCATTTCTTTTTTCGATTGCACTTATTGTTAAAAGTCAGAGGGGTGTACTTGTCACAGAAATGTGGAATGGACCCAAATAAAATCCTGCACAGGTTACTAATTCCATAAGGAGAGGTACTTTCCTAAATGAACAACTAATTCTAGATATTTTTAATGATAAGACAGCAATACAGTCTAACATTCACCAGCATTTTGTGAATTTTGATTTTACAATTTTTTTTGCAGAAGTCTTGCAAAATTATTATGCAGGAGGAGGAAGGGTTAAGAAAAGGTAAAGCAAAAGTTCCCAAATAATGAGCTGAAGCAGCTTACCTAATCCTCCAGGTGCAGCCAACAGGAACTCTTCCCTGCCTATTCTTTTCACAATTGGTCGCTTCTGTTCACCAGTGTAAGGAAAGAGCTCCTGGGAAGCGCCAGTACTGTAGTTCAGTATAATATATTGGTTAATGAAAGCAAGGCATAAGTAATAGCCATCCACCGCTACAGCACAAGGCTGTTCTCGCGTGCAACATTCTTTCAAAATCTGTACTTTGTCCTCGTAGACCAAATATATTTGGATGGTCCTCCGTTTCACTGAAACAATACACACTTCCACACAGAATGGATCCCCATTCACAGGGTTCTCATTCAATGTGAACATCAGGGCTCCTTTGATTCTGGCCCCAGTGGAGATGGGTTCCAAGTTGATCATGTTCATTAAAATGATGGTATTGTCACAGAGCACCAGAAGTCTGTTAAGTGCAGAAGCTGCTTTCAACTCTCCCACAGCCTTCCGGCAACTGAGATACTTATGCAGCTGCTTGGAAATAGAAAAAGGTGTTTTTTCAGAAGGGGAATTTTTCTCCTCCAAGAGAAAATGGCAAATAGAACCCTCATTTGTTCCAATGTAGAGGTTTCGTCCACAGCACTCCACACATTCGATACGAATTTGAGATCTGTCACCCATCAGCAGCTCCCACTCAACTGCGGGAACAAGCTTGAAGGCTTTGACACTCATTGTGCTTTCCAGAAAATGGCCTACTAAATTAATAAATAAAAGAAAGAAACTGGAGATCTGGACTTCTGGATTGAAAGCTACATTGTCTTTTCATCATTCAAAACGCCAGGCTTCCTGTCTCTTCAAAGCTTTAATGGTATGAAATTGACAATTTTCACAATACCTGTTCACCAAACTGCTGAGGAATAAATTTCTGAAGATAACTATTTTAATATAATTGAACTCTTGCATTTGCAGCTTGGACAGCCATAGAAATTGTACCTGTAAATGTAAATAAATACATACATAAATAAACACTGCTCTAGAACACAGATCCCTCAAAATAATAAGACAGAGGTTAGTTTCATGACTGCTTAGCACCCAAGACTTTGGAGCATACTTCCATCTTCTCAAGAAGTCCTCAAGAAGTTATCATTATGAGAATTACCGGAACTCATGTCCAATCACAACAAGTAGCCCTACCGATGGCTCAAAGCGGTATGCAAGTATCTTCTAGCACTGGTCTCAACACATCTGTGCCACACGGTTACCTAAGAGAAATGCTGGTATTTTCATTCCAAATTTTTGGAAGCATGCTATAGGCCACTGTGCAAGACAGGTATTCTTCCCCAGCTCAGTCCTATTCAGATATGCTCTATTTTCATGGTTGATAAATTCTGTAGTATTTAAGTTGCCAGTTTTCAGATAGAATATATTCTTGGTAATATTGTATATTTTTTTATAAACAATGCAATCTAAGTATGCTTATTTAAAAGTAACTCTCATCATACTGGACAGGCTTTAGTCCAGTGGTGAAATCTAAGATTTGTTACTACCGGTTCTGGGGGCCTGGCTTGGGGGGGGGGGAATGTTACTGGGGGGGCGTGGCCATTTTTTTTTTTAACTTTTAAAACATTTTTTTCTACAACCTCTTCAGTGAAGAAGTTGTAAAAAATGCTTTCAAAAGGCTCTGACGATCCCAGCTGAGTTGCTTGATCGGTAGAGGGTTTTTTTTTCTTTTAAATGCTCTGACGATCAGGCAACTCAGCTTGGCTCGTCAGAGGCATTTAAAAGAAAAAAAGCCTCTGCAGATCAGGCAACTCAGCTGGGATCGTCAGAGCCCTTTGAAAGCATTTTTTTCTATGCTTTTAAAAGCCTTTGACGATCCCAGCTGAGCCGCACGATCATCAGAGGCTTTTTTTTAACTTTTAAAAGCATTTTTTCTGCCGAAGAGGTTGTAGAAAAAAATGCTTTTAAAAGTAAAAAAAAAAAGCCTCTGATGATTGTGCGGCTCAGCTGGGCATGGGGGGGGGGATTTTTGCTACTGGTTCTCCGAACCACCCGCCTCCATCGCTACCGAATCGGGCGATCCAATCCGAACCGGGAGCATTTCACCCCTGCTTTAGTCCCTCTTCACATTGTTGTCTGCAGTTCTAGACACTATAACAAAAAGACCACTGGCTGAACAGTCATAACAGCTTGTAGGTTAAGCCATTTTGCTTTTACAACAGATTTTACAAAACATGTTATCATCTCATTTACATTACATTTTGCAGGTGCAGAATGCAAGACACTCTGACCCACCTTTCCTCGTATTGGATGAAACCAACATTCTAATTATTTAAACAAAATTTGTATGAATATAAGTATGCACTATATTTAGATCTAAAAAAATTCAACAGACTCTAAATAATATTTGATTAAGATGATTAACATGATTTTGAATGATTGCACCTTTTAAATTTTTTTTCTTCTTCAATAGTCAATCTTTATTTACTAACATAAATATATAAGTAACCAAAGTATGGGAAACTACAATTAAGACTATGATTACAAAATACATCATTTCTATATATATACAGATGAAACTGTCTTTCAGTCTCAGCCTCATGTACATAGGAGGAATACTAGTCTATTTTATGGGGCTGTTGTAAGAATAACTAAAAATTTATAATCTGCATGCACTTAAATATTAATAAGTCTATAAGTAACCAATTTGCTGTAATGCACAAAATAGAAGTAACAGTGGAACCACATGGAGCCCTAATTAAACCTTTAAAGCAAGCATCCTAATATAGTTTAATTAGGAAATATAAGGATATATATTCAGAAATCCTGATCATCACAATGAAAATACAGCATCTTCCTTAGGGATTCTATCATGCCTTTAAAATGGCACTGCTTCAGTAAGTGTTCAATAATGCCTGTCTTTAAGGCAATTTTTTTCCTCAACTGATGTCTGCTGGCCTTGCATACTTTTAACTTCAGCTGCTATAATCAAACACATCTGGAAAACATCAGATGTGATGCAAGATTCTGGATATTTTTGTAAACAGCTTGAATGCAGGGGTTAAGATGCTGGACTAGAAATGGGGTTCAGCCCACATTAAGCCAAAGCTCATGGGTGACTTTAGATCAGACATCTTCTCCCAGACCTACCCAACTGATAGGATCATTGGGGGAGGGGGGAATTGGAGGTGAGAAATATCCTTTTGAGCTTCTGCAGGAAAGGCAGAATATACGTCATACATACAAATAAATAAATCATCCCAAATTATTGTCATTTTCAAGAGCATCAGCCCGTCTTTGGTGGGTATAATTCTTTCTCCTTCAAAAACGGAGCAATAACTCTGGCACCGGCTGTCATTTCAATTTTATGGTACCCACGGAGGGATTTGGCGCAAGAGACCACCTGCCAACTCTCATCTTCCACCTGAAGGAGATCTCCCTATCTCGTCTCCACTGAGCGCCCCATCCTTACCATCAGCGAAGCCTCAGCTCTTCTCCAAATCACCCTCCTTAATTCCTCCAGGCTCAAGCCAGCCTTGGCAGGATCCCGTCCTTTCCTGCTTCCTCGCCCACGGAAGATGGGTGGGACGTGGCGTTCCGCATCCTCTCGTTTCCAGCGGCACCTACCCTGGCCAGGTCGGGCTTCTGCGCCACACACGCCCCTCTCCAGGCTGGGTTAAGCGCGCGGGTGGGAGGCTGCTACACCGGCGAGGGCCATGGGAAGAGGCCGGAGCCGAGAGCGAGGGGAAGGGGAAGGCAAACAGCAGGTCGGGCGCAGGAGTGGAAGTGGAGATGCAACCTGCCTCCTCCGTCCCTCCTCCCAAGCCGCCCCCCCGAGGCCTCCGCTCAGGGCAGGCCAGCCGGCGCCACCGCCTCCGCTCCCCGCCGGATCCCCGGGAAATCCGCGGCTCCTCTGCCAGCGCCGTGCGCTCCTGCAGCTGGCTCTTCCTCCGGGGGCGGCTCCCCGGCCCTTCCGGTCACAAGGCCGGCTGACAGGCGGATTCTTCCCGCTGGCTGGTGCGGGGCGGGCTGGGGGTGGCTCGCTGGGCGGGTTTGACCGGCGCCAAGTTTCGTTAGAGCGAAAGCCTCGGCTCAGCAACCGGATGGCTCTCGGAGACGGTGTTTGGGGTTGGGTTTCCACCGGAAAGCGGGGTAGAGTTTTGTCCGTGGGTGGGAGAGCGCAGCTTTGGCTCCTGTGCGTCGAGAGCTGAAGCTGGTTCCTAATCCTGGGTTTCTTGGATGCAATTTGGAAAGAGTAAACGTTGACCTAATGCTTCTCTAATGTTGGATTTAAAACCACGCATATAACTATTTTAACAAAAGTGATGCAAAAAAAAAAAGAAAGAAAAAAAGAAAAGAAAAGAAAAGAAAAAAAGAAGAGAGGAGAGGAGAGGAGAGGAAAGGGAAAGGGAAAGGGAAAGGGAAAGGGAAAGGGAAAGGGAAAGGGAAAGGAAAGGAAGAGGAGAGGAGAGGAGAGGAGAGGAGAGGAGAGGAGAGAAGAGAAGAGAAGAGAAGAGAAGAGAAGAGAAGAGAAGAGAAGAGAAGAGAAGAGAAGAGAAGAGAAGAGAAGAGAAGAGAAAAGAAAAAAGAAAAACAACTGCCCTGGAAATCGAAGAAAAGATCTGGAGGTCTCTGTTCCCACAATTAGTTTTTTTTTTAATTTAATTTATATGCCGCCCTTCTCCGAAGACTCAGGGTGGCTTACAATGTGCTCAGCAATAGCCTTCATACTTTTGTATATTTATACAAAGTCAGCTTATTGCCCCCACAATCTGGGTCCTCATTTTACCTACCTTAGAAAGGATGGAAGGCTGAGTCAACCTTGAGCCTAGTGAGATTCGAACTTGCAGTAATTGCAGGCAGCTGATGTTAATAACAGTGCTTTAGTCTGCTGTGCTACCAGAGCTCCTGGTTTTTGGCCAACCTCTGCTGTTTACTTAAAAGTCCAGGACAATGATCCTTGTAATACGGATCTAGAGCTTGCTGTAGGTACACCACTCCATGAAGCAAACAGCAGCAGCAAAATGGGCAGTGGTGGGATTCAAATAATTTAACAACCGGTTCTCTGCCCTAAATGATTTCTTCCAACAACCAGTTCACCAAACTGCTCAGAACGTTAACAACCAGTTCTCCCGAAGTGGTGCGAACTGGCTGAATCTCATCACTGAAAATAGGTGTATAAAAATAAGCAGTTAGCCGCCTTCCATCACAATTTGCATGCCCAGGTGAGGATTTTCTGTGAAGGAAGACTAAATTATCTCAGGTTCTGTGCCTTTAGCACAAGCATGGCTCTCCTAATCTTTCCCCCTTGTGTAATGTATAATTGGCCCAAATGCTACCAGAAAATAAGAAATAATGTCTTGAGGCCAGTCACAGTGTCCACAGGGTGCAAATCAAAAAAGTGAAAGCAGTGGTGACATGCAGTTGAAGCTTCTTTACCTATTTTTATGTGAAACACTTGGCTACTATTTTTTTAAACCATAAGCCCCAGATCTCCTGAAGTCAGTCCAGATGATATCATGAGAGTGTCCAGATGAAAATCCTTGATGAACTGAAATAGAATCCCATCTAGTCCAAAGCTTTCCATATATGCCTCAGCTATTATAAGAAAAAAATGTTCTCGGTTCCAATTTAGCGTGGAAAACCAAAATGTGAATTTTAGGAATGTTTGGTTATGCCCGGCTATTGAGTCGAGGCCAAAAATAAAAGGTGATATAAGAAGAAACATAAAAAAAGGATAAATGTTACTTCCCATCAGGGTGGATTTGATTTAAATCGAGTTGATTTAAATCACAATTTAAATCATGATTTAAATCACTAGTAAAAAGGCTTGATTTAAATCAACTTGATTTAAATCATATTTTTTAAAGAGCAACTGTCATCTCTGCTACTCCTTTGACCCACTGTTGACTCACCGATAGTCCCAGTGTTGCAGAATATACAGCCTCATGCTACATAACTAAGCTCCATTTCATGCTGAATAAACTAAATTATTTATGTATCTTAAATAGAAAACTATCTTACGATAGATTTTTACCCCAAAAGTTTGTTATTAAAATAAATTCAATTTTAATCAAAAATCCGATTTAAATAAAAAAAATCTGATTTTTTTATTTTTTTAAAAAAATCATTGATTTTTATCCACCCTGCTTCCCATTGACCAGACATAAAAATTAAGAACAAAATTGAAAAAGATCTTAAAGATCAAATGCCTAAACAAATATACTGATAACTTTAATCTTTCTTTTTAAAATAAAAATGGCAATAATTCATAAAGCTCTTTATAAAAATGAACATTTTTAAATTAAAAAATCAAGCTTTTGTAAATGTTAAGCGCCTGCAGCTCTTAATGATAATATTGAGTATGAGTAAGATTAGAATAGAATAGGAATAGAATAGAATAGAATAGAATAGAATAGAATAGAATAGAATAGAATAGAATAGAATAGAATAGAATAGAATAGAATTGAATTTTATTGGCCAAGTGTGATTGGACACACAAGGAATTTGTCTCAGTGTACATAAAAGATACATTCGCCACACCTGGTAAATGCCTAGTTAAATAATTGCCATCTCTAGTGGTAAATTTTAGCTCTTTCAAAGACATTTCTGTAATCTTACCTACCATCTTCTTCCTTACTTTCCTTAAACTGGCCTAGTTTAGCAATTTGTAGTCAAAGACTATCTGTATTACCATATAATAATTAAGCACTTAATTACTACTACTATATGCAGCTGGTAGTTATGTTTCTCCTGATATACATATATACAGCTCCAACTTCCATATAAAAACCAGAAAGCAGGCTGGAAACTGGGAAACCCCAAGTTCTAGTCCTGCTTTAGGCACAAAATCAGCTGTGTGGCTAGGGGCAAGTCACACTCTTTGGCAAACCATTCATGAAAAATGATGGCAAGATGCCTTTTCCTTGTCTTACTTACCTTGGCGATGGGAGCCATGTGGTCCATTGGGGACCAGACTGAAATTTAGGACTCACATAGTAGAAGACTTCTTTTCCCACATACGGTTCCCATATACCCTAGTAGTTGAGCTGTGGGAGTGGGGCATCTTTAGAACTGTCCTCTGTGGTACTGTTTAGATTGAATGAACTCCAGGAATTCCATTTGAATAGGATAAGCAAGATAGCCAAATATTAACAACGAGTACATCAAGTCTGTAGGTTAATGATTTCTTTATGATATCTATTGCATATCAGATATTCAAGTTTCTGACACTGCACTATGAACGTTCTGAAGGCCAGCATGAATTAGATAAGCAACTGATTTTAGAACCAGTGTTCTAAATTTGGGAGTAAACTCTTAAATCAAAACAACATTTTTCAATATTGTATCATATTTCTGTCTTTTACCTGAAAAAAAATCTGAAATATTTGTAGCTCTCAACAACGACAACAAAACTTCTAAAACTTTCTATATTTTGAAGGCAATCTAGAAATTATTTCTGTTAATCAGAAATGTTCTAAAATTTAAAAAAGTAAAAATTTTCTGTCATGTTTTCACATATTTGCCGCTGTATAATGAATGATCGATTTAAAGTTTTGTTATATTTAAAGAGAAAAATTGTGAAATGACTGAGTATTCCACACTGAATAGACTGCCTTGTTCATGAATTGTTCCATGCAGAATATAGACAAAATAAAGGAGATGCATGCAGCCAATTTTCTTTTTGCTGAGATTTCTGTCTGAATGCACAAAAAATAGCTTAAGTAAGATAAACCCATAAGGATGTGTAAAGTTGGGTTTTACTATTTATTTCCATGCCTTATTGGTATTACAGAATGTCTGCAACTGAGATGAAATTATTGATAACGAATTGGATTAATGAGGTCAGAAGGTGGTCTAGGAGAAAGCCAGGTTCAGATGAACTGAATTATCTTATTCTTAGAGAAAGGGGCTTCCAATGTCATGAACCCACATTTTAAAAGTGTGATTTAAACTGAACTGGATTTCTGGTGACTTCAGATATACATCCATGGAGATTTCCTGGTAACTGCAGAATTAGTTTACCGTTGTCTTTTTGGGGGGATATTTTTTTAAATGCTGATTTTCATATAAAGCCATAGACTTTTTTGATGGTCTTCAAGACAGTTAACAAATCAAAACAGATTCTGTTTACCTTTTCAAAATCAATCAATGAGTTCCTCCCCAAGATGGCTGGTGAGCAGTAGGGAGATTTTTCTCTCCTGCTGATGATCTGCTGATTTTGCTACCAAAAGCTGGTTCTTTGACAGACTTGCTCCCTGGATTTGAATAGGAGCACTTAGCCAGGATGTCTTTGGATAAGAGTGGACCCACCCAGGATGAGGAATCTTGAAGATTACTGTTCCAAGTGGGAGTGGCAGAAAATTAGGTCATCGTCTTTTTCCTTTTGGCAAACAGTTCTCTTAAGCACATCTGGGTTTCAACTACACTTTTTAAAGTTTCTGTTTTGTTTAGTTTCTTATCTCTAAAAGTTGACCAGCTGGTTGAACGCTGATTTATTTTAACCCCTGCTGGATTTTATCTGTTTCTTGTTCTTTTCCTTAAGATCTTTTTTTCACTTTTTAAAATATCCTGTGTCATAAGAAAAACAAGACATGCCTTGAAGTAATAAGTGTTTGGACTTGATTTACATTTATTTTGGACCTTTATATTACTCTGAAGATTATTTTTTCAAAAATCTTTTTAAATCTGGATTGAAATAGTGTCCTTGCCTCTCTATTTTGACAAATATCCTCCTTGTCTTTGAGCTTTATTTGCCAAGTTACACCAGAGCAACAGAACCTTTTGGTTATATGCAAATCCAATTTGAAAACTTTTAAAAACAATTTGACAAAATAATGCTTGCAAAACAACCCATCCAAATGCAAGTAATTGGAGTTAAATTAGATTCACAAAAGGAATTGGATTTGAAAACAGTAGATTCAGTGAAGGAGATTAAGAGGTACAGATATTATACATTTAGAACTACTTGAGGAGATTATACATTCTTGCAAAATGCATGTCTTCAGGCTTGCACTCTCTTACAACAGCGGAAAACTGAATGATCAAATGAAGGGGACTGGAGAATGGATTTATCATACTCAACTCGAAAACAACTTCAATTGGCCTTTTTGGGGAATATAGATCAATTTTGGAGAATGAATCTAATATATTTGACTGGACAACAATAGAAAAGAGATGGCATTTGGAAATAATCCTGAATATTCAATCCAGAATAAATCAATTAACTGCTAAATTAACTGTAGATAAATAAACTGTAGTAAACTTCCTGCAAGTTGAATTACAATAGTAGTAGTTTGTTAAGAGAATTCTGATATTTTACTCTTGCTTTTTTTTTTTTTTTGTTCACCAACTTGGGTTATTTGTAAAAATAATAAAGGCAGGAGATAAAGTAAATTAATATTTCTCACATTTTTGGGATTGTAGAATTTGCAGATATTTTGCAAGCAGTAATGAAAAAATGTGGTCTTCAGTCAAAGTCTCATATTCAAAGTTATATTCATATATACTCATATTCAGTCAATTTAGTTTAGTTTAGTTTAACTTTGTCATTGTAGGCATATACACATTATATCCATACAACGAAATTCACTTAACACCCAAAGACCAGGCCCAACACACATAATCCCCAAACACCCCCCACCCCCACCCATCACAAACTTTCTCATATTGTTTTCCAAGTACGCATAAACACCCATAATTTCTAGCTAGCATAATCATAACATCCATAATTTCTAGCTAGCATAGCCCCAACAAAATTTCAGGAGTTGTAGTTTAACACATTTAGAATCAAGTTGGCGAAAATTTATTTAAGATACACAATTGAGCTCATTTTAGAATTCATACACAATTATTTGAGATTGCCTTGAAAGGCTCGCTTGTGCCATCACATCACAGTGCACTTTGTCACTTTTACACCAGCGTAACCAATGGTGGGTTTCAAATTTTTTTACTACCGGTTCTGTGGGTGTGGCTTAGTGGGCGTGGCAGGGGAAGGATACTGTAAAATCTCCATTCCCACCCTACTCCAGGGGAAAGATACTGCAAAAGAGCCTTGGTAGTACAGTGGTCTAAGGCACCCTGTTATTAAGCTGGTTATTAAGACCAGCTGCCTGCAATAACTGCAGGTTCGAATCTCACCAAGGCTCAAGGTTGACTCCGCCTTCCATCCTTACTAAGGTAGGTAAATTGAGGACCCAGTTGTGGGGGCAATAAACTGACTTTGTATAAATATACAAAAGAATGAAGGCTATTGCTTAGCGCATTGTAAGCCGCCCTGAGTCTCCGGAGAAAGGCAGCATATAAATCAAATTAAAAAAAAAAAAAGAAAATCCCCATATCCTCCTGATCAGCTGGGTCTTGGGAGGCAGAGAATAGATGGGGGTGGGGCCAGTCAGAATTTTTACTACCGGTTCTCCGAACTACTCAAAATTTCTGCTACCGGTTCTCCAGAACTGGTCAGAACCTGCTGAAACCTACCTCTGAGCGTAACTTGTAGCAGTTGTCTACAGAGACATACAATTCTTTTAGTTCATTAGTTTTAGAAATTGTTCTTAACAATTTGCATCTGAAACTGCAAAATGCATTGCTAATAGTTATAGAATGATTGTTATAAGAAATATCTACAGCTAGCTGAACACATAGACCCCTTTCTATTAGCATAGCCTGCAAAATCCATGCTAGCCAACAAGATTTTGAATAATTTTCTATAGATGACTCTCCTTGTTCTTCATAGTCATTCGTGCATATTCAAGCTGAAATATATAAGTATTTCAAAATACGGGGGTAAATATAATTCATAACTTTTTAATTAAAAAACAATTTGGGTCAAAACCAACCTATCTTTCTAAATTTCCACGCACGACCTTTTCTAACCCGGATGTTTTGCAGTTGGGAGGGGGGGAGTTGCTTCTCTAAAAGTGCTTCCCAATTCTCTCTTTCGTCATTTAGATGCGCATCTTCCAATTCTCAAAGATATAGAAAAATGAAGCATGGCACAAAATGTGCATCTCTCAACATTTCCCCTTCGTGTGTAACAAGAGGGGTGAAAAGACGGTTCCATCAAGTCTACTTTGGCTTTTTGATCGCCTTCATATAACTACTTTGGCAACAGGGACCATGGATTTTGCCAAAAAAATTGGGTTACCTGCTCCTGGGATCTCCTAGCCTAGCGCCTCCTTTCTCCAAGGGAGGTCTTCTCCCGATCCGCTTCACGAGATCTTCTGCAGTGACCAGGAGAGCGACTTGAACAAAATAACGCAAAAATTCAATATTTAGTTGCTGGCAAATAGCAATATGCGGGGTTATTCCCACGCTGCAGCATGGGGGGCGGAGGGGAGAGGAAGGCTGCTCGCGAGCCGATATTTGCAGACCGTCAAAAAGAATTAAATTCTTCCCCTAAAAAAGGAATCTCTGCAATGAGAAACTCAAAGCGGTTAACAGGAACTCAACATTCACTTTTTGCAATGGCTTTTCAAACTTAGCGTGCTTGCCTGCCCGCATACAATCTTTTGTAACTAAATGTGATCGACGTTATAGAGGAGACCATGTTTCATCCATCATTTCTTGTCCTGCCCTCAAGGTGCTTTGGTCGACCGCCTCTTCTCTGTGATAACCCTCACTTATTGGAAGACTGTCATGTCACCCCCCTTGTCCTTCTTTTCGTATGACTAGACCAGGGGTCTCCAAACATGGGACCTTTAAGACTTGTGGACTTCAACTCCCAGAATTCCCCAGCCAGCCATGTTGGTTGGGGAATTCTGGGAGTTGAAGTCCATAAGTCTTAAAGGTCCCATGTTTGGAGACCCTTGGACTAGACTTACCCAGTTCCTGCAAGCGTTCATAGTATGGTTTAGTCTCCCTGGCCGCGATTCATTTTAAAACTTAAACGAGTATTCACATAGGAAGTTGAAGTTTCATTTATTGGGTCGAACACAGAAAGTAGGAAAGTGAAGAATTCTGCACTTTTCCTGGGATTTGCCTCAACGCCGCCTTACGCTGAAACTCCCCTGTTCGTTCTTTGCAAACGGGAACCCGGAAACGGACACCTTCGTTCATTCTAAATTTTCCTACCTCAGGGGCGCTTCCTCTGAACGTCGCTCGTGACGTCACCGGAAGGAACCTTTCGAAAGAATGCTCGGGCGGCCAATCAGGATCGCGTTCGGAAAGATGGCGGCTTTCGGGGACCGTGGGCTCTCCGCGAAGGATGGAAGTGGCGACGCGGCGCGGGTGGACTCGGACCTCCTGTTGCACCCGGAGCTGCTCTCGCAGGAATTCTTACTCTTAACGCTGGAGCAGGTAGCGAGAAGGGGAAGGCGGGGCGGCGAGGAAGCAGGGGCTGGGCTCGGGGTTCCTGGGTATCCACCTTCCAGGGTCTCTGCCGGGCATCTCTGGCTTTGCCACAGCCCTGGGAAAAGGAGGCTTGGCTTCCTGACCCGCTTTAACACTCCCGCGACGTTCCTGCCCCATTCTGCAGACTGGCATTCTCCCTTGTTGTTGGTAGCAACCCAGTAGAAGAAGTTCGCTCCCTAAGTCATAATCGTAAGTTTATTTGTCAAGCATATATAAGATAAGAGGTAAAAGTATAAATATAATTTGAATACATGAAAAGAGTAAGTAAAAATCAAATAAAAAGTAAAGTAAAAAGGAATATTAGGACAGGGACGGTAGGCACGCTGGTGCCCTTATGCACGCCCCTTATAAATCACACGTCCTTTTTATATATATTATGTGATCACACGTCCTTTATAAAGGGCAATCCTTTATTTCAGAAATGATGTTAATTATTATAAGAATTAAGTCATTTAATTTTCTTGCTTTTCCTTGGATTTTTCTTTGTAAACCAACGTTATAATCATACCACCTTCTACCGCATAGCTCCCAGCGACTGGTAAGATCCCACAGAGTTGGTGGTCTCAGGGTCCCGTCAGCTAAACAATGCCGGCTGGCAGGCCCGCGGGGGAGGGCCTTCTCTGTGGCTGCCACACTCTCAATTACCTCCTGAGGTCCGGACCATCCCCACCCTATTGGCCTTCCGAAAAGCGGTGAAGACCTGGCTCTTCCGGCAGGCCTGGGGCCGTTGATCTCGCTGCTGCGATTTAGCGAGATCCGGCCATGAATGATGTGAATGGGTTTTAATTGTTTTTAATGGTTTAACTTTTAACTTTTAACTTTTAATGTTTTATATATGGTTTTTAAATGCATTGTAAGCCGCCTTGAGTCTTTGGAGAAAGGCGGTATACAAGTTGAACAAATAAATAATAAATAAATAAATACACAATTTTTTTTAAAAAAATGTTTATTCATCTCTTTATCTTGCCCACTCCCACCGCTCCCAGTTGATCTCCCGTCTTCTGGCTCCTGCTGCTTGCAAGGTGTTCCTGGCATGAACCTTCACCAGGTGGCCGAGGGTGCCAGGCTTGGTGGAGCCAGCCCAGGGCAGAGGGCAACACAAGGAGACAGTGGAGTGTAGACAGAGGGTGGGAGAAAAGGTGAGCCAGGCAGGCGAAGTGCACCTTGTCAGCAGTGAGAGGTAGAAGATGGAAAAGATCAGCTGGGAGCAGTGGAGGTGCAGGGCAGTAAGAGTGGCGGAATGGCAGGAGTAGAGGAGTACAGGGCCACAGGGATGGCGGAGAGCACTGTGCCTGGGTGGTGGATGGAGAAGATAGGCAGGTGGAGAGAGAGGAAGCAAAGGTGAGGAGAGCAGGGGCAAGAGAACCGGGACTATTGAAACTGCCATTGTTAAGCAGTATGATCACGTGATGTTTTGTTTAATAACTGCATCGCTTAGCAAAGGAAATGAAGGCCCCAATTAGGCCCGTTAAGCAGGGACTACCTGTATCGCCTCTGTTATCAACATGATACCTAATCTTGCAGATCTATAACATGTACATTTATCATGACACATAAGAGATGTCTTTTGGGTTTTGGGTCCCCCCCCCTCCATATTTTAACTAGCAGCATGGTGTGTTGAGAATAAGGAAACGTGTAGCTTCTCTTGCTTCATCTTTGTTCCATCTAGTAAAATTTACCATCTTTCTCCTAGAAGTGTAATGTATATGGGTGGAATAACCAGAATTTTTATATTAGGGAAACCTTCCGTCATATTTGATAACCAGCTAGTATTATAGGCTGTTTTTGTAGGTCTGGAGTAAAATGTACGTTCTGTACAAACTGAACTGTAAAAATATGCCAGCAAACCTTTGGCAATTTTCTATCTATTGTATTGTACAAAGTATATTGCTACACATAGAATTGCTTTCAAGCACATTATGAACCGTAATATTCATAACATCATGATTTCTATTGTTTTTCATCAGAAGAATATCCCAGTAGAAGATGAAGTGAAAATCAGTAAAGATTGCCTTACTGACTTGTATATTCAACATGTCATACCATTGCCTCAGCGTGATTTGCCCAAAACCAGATGGGGGAAACTAATAGAAAAGCAAAGAGGTCAGCAAGTGTTGAAACACGGCACCCAAAGGTAAGTTTGCTTTGTTTACAGTACTTGGATTCTCTTCAAAATCTTTCAAAAGTCTGTGACGTAACAGGAAACCAACTTATCTTGAATTAGAGAATATTATTTCCATTTTAATTTGTTGTTATTAGATTTTTGTCCTGCTTTCTTTATATATAACTCAGGACAGTGACATACTTCATATTCCTGCCTCCTATTTTCCCCACAATAATAACCCTGAGAGGTGGATTCAGCTGAGAGCGAGTGACTGCCCCAAAGTAACCAGGTGGCTTTCACTCCTAAAGGAGGCCTAGAACTCACAATCTCCTGCTTTCTAGGGCAGCATATTAAATCACTGTACTAAATTTATTATTTGCATCCTCCCAAATTGTCTTTCAAGTAAGGAAACAATTGTAAAGTACAGTAGTAATTGATAACTAACAGACCATTTCTGCACTTCTCATCAAAGGGCAGAAGAGGTAATTACCCTGTAGGTCAGAGGGAGGAATGAGTCCAGTTGAGCAGACCTCAGTGGGGAGAGGGGGTTTCACTTGATTCTTGAGGCCCACTTTCCACAGGACAGTTGGTGGTAATGTACCTGTACAGCTCTCAGCTAAACAACATTCTCTGTGAGTTCAGACTCTCTCAGCTTTATCTGAGAAAAAGTCTGCCAATTGAAGAAAGGAAACCTTGATTATTTTGACCTACTCTTTGTCAGATAAATAAAACAACTATTTTGTTATCTGTATTGCCAGCTTAATGTTACACATTATTATGAAAAGAAATTGGACGTCAGCAGTCATAAATTAGCTCAAGAAGGGTTAGCATGGAACTGCTTTCATTTAGCTGTATATAATATATTTCATGCATAACCCAAATACCTAACTTCATCCAGGGAATTAAATCAAAAAGAGGTATGTCACATATATTTATACTTCATTAAGCAACCTGTTGCTCCAGTTGTAGCATCTTATCTGAAATTGGTGGCACCAATGCAAATCATAATTAAAAAGAATTACCCCCAACTGAAAGTAGATCAGTTCTGGAAAAGAATCTTGACAAATTTCTAAGCAAAAACATCAAAAGTGGTCAATGCTGAGGCAAAGGATTTAACTAGGCTCTGGAATCTTAGTCCAAGATTATTATCTATCTTTGAATTAATCTTTGGAGAACATATGTACAGATTTGGACTATTTCAGTTTGGTTTATCCAGTTCTTTATTATGTTTTGAAATGATTAGTGTTCTTTATTCTTAGACTGGATTAATTGTGAAATAAATGCACATCTGACGGTACAAAAGCATTGCCATTTGTGTGAGATTAATTCCTCATCAGTTTGAATAGCTACAGTCCTGATTTAAGTATGCATATGGGGGAAAGTTATATTGGAATTGACTGAACTCTCTTCCAAATAGTTATTAAAATGGGATACTATTTAGAATATTCTAACAATTTTTGTTTCATATATATGATTAATTTTTATGTCACTTTTTCTTGTTCAGCATTGTGGCAATGGAAAGTCTAAGAAAAAGGCCTCTCATTGTGTTTGATGGTAGCTCAACAAGTACAAGTATTAAAGTGAGGAAGACTGAGAATGGAGCTGCTGATGGTTTAAAATTCCTTTCATCTGGAAGTACCAATATCACATGTAAAAGACTGCCTGTTCCTTCAAATTCCACATTGTGCATATCTGCTTCCACTTTCTCATTGGATGTTAAGAGGGAATCTAGGAATAATGAGGGTAAACAGAACAATATTGTAGTTAATATGTCACCTGATCAAAAGCCATCAACTTTAGAGCCTCTTACAGGAACTACTGTTGGGAAATTTAAGAGAACTGCTCCAAAAGAAGAATTGGATTCATCAGTAAGTATATCTACTATTTTATGAGGTCATTCTTGAATGATGTCCCAGTAAATGTCTCGGTAGTTAACAGCTGCCATTTTTAACAACAGAATTTAAACTTGCACCAGCTTTTCCTATCTTAATTTAGTTCAAAAAGCCGGTAGACTTTTGTTCATTATTACCATGTTGTTGTTGTGTTATCTTGATAGAGTTTTATTGTTAAAAATAACCTTCAGTTGGCACAAAGCAAGTAATATGCTTTGCCCTAAAAGTGCTTTGCAAAAATCTGTGTGAGATGTAAAGGTAATTATTTTAGAAATGGCACAAATTTCATTTGATTTTTTTTGTGTGTGTGTTTTGAAAATGTTTTCTAAAAATAAAGGGGGTTTTTTGGACATTGGTACATACTGAGATATATACTGAATATATAATAATCTGTATCCTCCCTCCCCATGTTCTAAATTCTCATTCTCTGGGATCCTAAAATATGTTAGATGTCAGGTGCTAGCAACTACACCCACTCGTGGATAGGCCCAAGATATTTTATTATTGGTTACCTATGCAGATACAAATCTAAGGGTTTGATCTCAAATGTTTACTTTCTGGAACAGATTTTAAGATGGAATGTCTCTTTACTCCCACTAGAGGGGCCCCCTCCCTTTCAGCTGGTGGCTCTACCTCATTGGCTTAAGAGAGACTGCCTCCTGTGCTGCCACAAGTTGTGAACTATGTGGGATGGAGCATAGAGGTTTATGGAGGAGATTTTATAGAGGAGAATGAGAAGCCTGCTGAGGAAAGGAGACATTAGTGTGCCAAGAGATCCCATTACACATCTTAAGTGGGACCTCTTGTTCTAAAGCACGGGTGTCAAACTTGATCATGTCTTGTGACATATCATGACTTTTTTGCTTTTGCAGAGCCAGGCTGCAAGTGACACATCCGACCCACAGGCCCCAATTTGATAGGCCTGTACTAGAGAGACTGCAGCCTATGCCCCTAACTCGCCATCCACACTTTTCATTGCATCACTGGACATTGTGGAAGATACAGATGAGTGCAGGAAGTAAGAGACAATAAATAGTAATGATAAACGTCCTTCAATGAATTTGGGATACATACTAATATTTCCTTCATTATGTTCAGTCCAGACAACTTGAGACAAGAACTTAATATGTTATGGAAAATTGAAGTCCTTTTTAAAGATTTCAAAACACCTTCGTTTTAGCCACTAGGTGGAAACAGAAATCGAGTTCTGGATGCTTTAACATGTCTCCTTAAATAATCTAATTCTTTTCTCCCTCCAGAAGCCTCCTGAATCAAAAAGGAAGATCCAGCATGTAACATGGCCATGAACCTACAAGAGTTAGAAATGCAAATGATGCTTAGTCTTCATTTCAGTACAGAAGAATTCTACTAACCAGAGATGCAGATTGCAGTGGGTAGTTGCTTAGAAGTTCACGGTATAAAGAAAGCACCATATGTTCACCATCAACCTGAGAGTATTTATCTTGCACTTTGAATTTATTCCCCATTTTAGAAGTTAATTTTGGTAGAACAAAATTATTTTACCAGCCTTTCTTCTGCATTTTTAACTGTAGTCTATACATCAAGTCTTTGCATGATTTGATATAAAAAGTTTCTAACTATTCTGTTCAGTTGTATAATAGTATATTTTTTTAAACACATACCATATATTTAAATAGTATGGAAGACTGTTTCCCTATTCTGCTGATTTTACTAAGATATTTGCACATAATAGTTCTGTTGAAAGGCCTAGAAAAACAATTTCTCATTTTTAGGTGCCAATATTATTTTTTGAGAAACTATTTGGGTCCTTTCCAGTTTTCTTTAGGTGAAATCCTGAACTGTACACTGGTTTTGCTTCAAATTGAAGTTTTTGCTAAAATGGAAGATCAAATGGATTTCTCTTGTCTTTAGAGGCCCCCACCCTCAAGATTGTGTGTTGGGAAAAAAAATTGTGTGAAGCAGAACTGCATTTTTATACAGTGTGTGATCGGTGTTTTATACTAGCATTTTTAAGGAAAGCTTATTTAACTACAATTAAATAATGCCTGACAAAATTGAGAAGGAAAGCAATGCTTGCTCTATTTATTTATGCAGCTAGAAAAGAGATGAACTTAGTGGACGTCTGTAGGGATGAAAGTTCTGTCTATGAATAAATTCTTTGAAACTTTCTGTATTTTTTTCTTATATGAGGTAAAAGCATCCCAGGGTTTTAAAATATTAGAATCACATTTGTATGCACAGTGTAGTTTTAGGTCATTAATGAAATTGTATTAGTTAAAGGCTCTGAAGAAACTGGCAGCATCTTGGTGATACAGATAATTTAGTTTCAAAATCTTTAAATTTTAGCAGCTTCTTCACAATGAACACAAAGCAGAAGTAAAGTGAGATATAATTGTTGTAAAATTGCTCTTTGTATTGGGGAAGAAAAAAACCAATTTCAACAGACACCGAGTACATATAAGTTGTGTTGATATCAGTAACGTAGATAAAAGACATACCACTTCTGAACATTTATAAGATTTAGCCCATATTCCTGTATGCTACTGTTTCACAGTAAATTTTATTTAACTTACGTTTAACTATTCACTCTTATGATTGCATTAACTGACATATAATTTCCATTGCCTCCATTGTGCCCCAAGACATCACAGAGCACTTCAGAATATAAAGAATGGTGTATTAAAGTGTAGTTGAATTCATTTCTTAAATAATTGTACAAGTTTTCTACTTGAGTACTGTATACAATTTAATTTTGTGTTTTTGTATTTGAATTGCTGTCATTTTATTAGCTTATCTAAATTAAATTAATTTAAGTGTGATCTCTTGTATAGATCATCTTTATGCTATAATTTTATCTTGTTAGGCTGATTCAGCTGAGGTTTTTTGTGTAATAGAATTAAACATCTATGCCAGCATTGGTGGATTAAGGTACACCTAACAGCAATCCTGGAAACATTTAAATAGTCTTTAGAAGTGGCGTACAGTAGCTTTACTCTGTGCTGTAAACAACTACATTGATTTTTTTAAAAAAATCAGCACTTTTGATCATAGCTTGATGTTATTATCCTTTGAAATGCATCTTTGGTCAGTACATGTATAAGGATTTGTAATTCATTTTTAAAAATCTAGGTTTGTTCTACATTTTTAGGAATTGCAGTAGATATTCCAAACTAGCAGCTGTAGATTGTAGATTCAAATAAAAAAGTAATTATGCTTACAAAGACCATAAAAGATAAGTTCCTATATGGTCACCAAATGTTCTTATTAAAAATAAAATAACACAATAATTGTGTTCCTGTCATGAAGGTGATAGAAAGACATAGATTTTAGATTCCAAAGATTTTGTTTACATGTCACTTTTAGTGAATAATTATCTGGTGAGGCAGCCTTAAAAATATCCTGAGGAAAGGGCAAGAGCTGATACAAAGATTTGAGTTATTAATATTTTCACGTTTTTAAACATGCAAATAATTTCAAAGACAGTGGCTGATCATTTTTGAGAAGAATTGAGATGGTAAGCCAAGTGGGATTGTTTAGTAAACAGTCCTTAAAAATAACATGAATTAATTTTTTGTCATCTTAATTGAAGCCCAAACGTATTGTTGGTAACTCCTGCTATGAAATAAATGTACTGTATAGCAGTCTCAGTCCTAAAACTCAGCTATCAAGGGTCATTTGCGACAATAGATAGTGGTTTTCTCAGAAATGTAATTTCATGTAGCCACCACACTGTATTTGGGCATCTTCATATGTAGTGCTTTCTTTTTGATCCAGTGTTATGGAAAATCATGTTATAGGTGGCATGCACCATGCTGCTTCTTTTTCAATTTCCTCTAGATTGAGCATTGAGATATGCCAGGAAAGGGCAATGTAGCTAATGTGAAAATGGTACTTTGGGCAAAGAAAAGAGATTCTCTTTCTGGGATGGGATGTTTTGCATTTCCACCTTACATGAGATCAGAGGATGAAAGCATAGAAACAAAACGTTTACTGACCATTATCTGCTCTGTTTTAATAGTGAAAATAGTGATAGTGAAAATGTTGCTCTGGTGGGTTTTTTTATAAAGATGCTTGGGACTTTTTATGTATTGTTTTTATTGTGCTGTTTGTTCTTAGTCAACTGACAAGAGTCTTGGAACAGTGTGATTCAGAGATATCCTATAATCCATCTATCTCCAATTGCCTTGAATTATGGCCATGTCCGCAGCTGCCAATCATAATTGCATGGACTTAGTGCAGCTCTCAAGGGAAAGTAAATTCTCCCTTCCTGAGCTGGGAAAGAGATTTAACCCGTGCAATAACCTGGCGTCCAGAGAGATGATGCTTAATACTTCTGTTCAGCTGTGTTTTTAATGCACTTACCAAAGAATCCCATTTATTTATTGATGAGTATTTCTCAGTAAAACATTAATTCAGTAGATTTGTAAAGAGATTACACAGTGAATCACCTGTAGACGAACAGCTGTTGTGATCTGGGAGTTTAAGTCCACAAGTCTTAAAGCTGCCAAGTTTGGGGACCCTGGTCTACACAAATAAGGAAATGCAGCAAATAGATATCATTCATTATCACAACTACAACAGCACAAGAAATAGAATGGAAGGTAAATTTTCATTATGGTCTATTTCAGGAAATTAGAGCAATTTGTTACCTCCATATGAAGTAATTAACTATGTCCCATATTTTATGATACAGTGTGTAATGATGAAACCAATATAAAATGCTTTGATTTTATATTGGTTTCTGAAAATTGGCTTCTTTTAGAAATCAACAGTTCCTCTTTTTATGTAGATTCATATTTTTAAAGAGAAGGAGTCTACTCAAGCTTTACCTTAATGGTTAACATTTATTAAAACGTCCGAATTCACAAAAATACAACACTTTGCTAGAAATACATTTATTACTTTGCAATCTCTAAGGTGCAATGAAATTTCAAAAATCTGTTAGGAGTAAAAACTTTATTTTGTGCAATGATCTTGTAACATCCTGAAATAATGTATATATTATACATTATTGTATATTTGCATCCACCAAACTTGGGCATTTATTTGGGAACAAGTTCATGTGTTTGGAAATGGGAATAGCTCCGAATGCTGATGAAGAAAATCACATTCTTTAATCAATCTTTTTAAGGTATGGCACAAATATAGTATTACTGATATGTATCTAAATTAACCTACATTATTATCATCTATACATTTGTGAACTGGGAAGTTTAAATATTTATTCTTCCTCCACCAACACTCTAATCAGTGGCAATTGTAATTCTTCAGAAAATCTTATTGTATCTGACAAAGAAAATTATCTAAATCACTCAAATTTTGTATTGGTTGTTTTGCATTTAGGAATGAGAAGTATTGCTTGATAATTGATATAACTTTTATAACTGATAACTTTTCTCTTATACCATGTTTTCCCGAAAATAAGACCCTTCTTATATTTTTTTGAACCCTGAAATAAGCATGGCCTTATTGCCATGCGCTCAAAAGCCCTATTGGGCTTATTATCAGGGGATGTCTTATTTTGGGGGAAACAGGGTATCTATTCCAATACGTTTCTACAGTCTAAAAAGAGAAAAAAACTCAGATATAATGCCTACACAAGTTCTCCCTGTTAGCCAGGCGCCGTCATCCAGACCAAACCTTTTTATTCCCGATCTCTCAGTTGAGCTCAGTAAGACCTCTGCACAATTTGAAACCCTGCTTTAATTGCTCCATAACATCTGGAATATATTGTAGTGATGTTTTTACTTCCTTTCAAGTGAATGAGAGTAAAAAGGTCTCTTTCAAATGAGTTCAATTCCTTGGTGACTTAATGGAGATGAACTTTTCTTCTCAATGCCAAAGCGGCTTGCCACTGCCTTCCTTCAAGAATTTTTTTTTTTTAATTCTCAGTCAAATCTATAGCCTTGGAATTTCGAGTAGTTTCCTATCCAAATATTAAGCAAATCTGAACTTGCTTAGCTTTTCAAGATCAGCTGATGTTGGCTAGATTCTACCACCTAATTGTTTAAACTTGAGTAGATACTCTCAAATCTGCTCTATGAAGGGAGGCTGAGGTCTGAAGGATGAGCTCTAATGTACAATACTGCAGGTGTGACCAGCAATCATGGCTTTGTTTCCTTTGTATAAGTATATTGTGTTGAGGCATAGCATCCAAAAAGAGCTAGTGTTAACTATTGCTGAGGGAAAAAAATACTTTCTGCACTTGATCAAAACATGCACATCATTATGTGTATTAGAAAACATTGTAAATACAACTTTTTTCAAAAATGCTTTTCATCTTTTAAATGTCTTTCCCACATTCGGGACACAGGATGTCATCTCTTTCTGTGAGGAAACCACGGCCCACCAACGATAGGGAACATTTCTTGCAGTTGAAACAATCATTGTGCCATTGCCGTTCCTCAAAAGAAATATACTTGGTGCCACCAAGCCCTGAAAAAAGATGGTATGAGAAAAAAAGTGAGGCACATCAGTGTGAAATAGTTGGAACTGGATCTTTGGTTATGAAGCAACCTTTTCTGACCTAATATCCCCAGATATGTTTGACCATGACTTCCAAGGAGGAAATAGCAGACTGAAGATGGCTCCAAAAAGCAGAGCCAATGACAGCATTGGAATGAATAGCCAGTAAGAAGACTGGATATTCAATAATTCTCTAGATGAGAGAGGACTTGAGATTGTCCATAGTTGCTCTAGAGCAGGAGTGTCAAACACAAGGCCCCAGGGCCAGATCCAGCCGTGATGTGGTCGGATCCGGCCTGTGGGGCCATCCTGGAAAATATATGGGGCCGGCACGCATGGTTTTGGCCCAGTCTACCCAATGCGAAGAGGAAACATGCCAGCTGTTTGGGGAGTGGCGTCAAGCTGGCCATGCCCACCCAGTTGGCCACACCCACTCAGTCGCCTACGCCTCCCGCCCCAAGGTCAACCACAGCCCTGATGCAGCTCTCAATGAAATTGGGACAGTTGCTTATTGTGCGATGAATGCATGACAGCAACCTGCACCAGATTTAGAGCTCTGGGAGACAAGGGAATAGACAGCCTGCTCAAACTGCAGTTGGCACCTTTTAGTTTGCATACTTCCATACTTCATTTTTTAAAATTACGTGTTAACTGCTTTCCAGCTATTAGGAACATTTGGATCAACGTGTTTTACAGAACCAGGTACATTTCCCTCAATCCTTTTGGAATTATTTATTTTAAAAAATCCTGATTGGAAAATGCCTTTGTTTCACTTAAAAAAAAAAAAACAGTTTAAAAAATTGGACACCTAAGAGAACTAGAAGCAATTAAAGTTTACAATCAAAAGCAAAAGGATACTTAAACTCAATTTGCAATTCTAGAATGAAGCAAAATATTTTAACGTTGGACATACTAAGGGATATTTTTGAACGATGGATCCAGAAGTTAATTTTTATACTGTCTGCCTTTATAGAAAGATCATGTCTAAAAGATATACAAGAGAAACAACCTGTATTTGACAAGACTGAGACTGAATTGAAAGTAGACCTACAAATGACAGATTAAAGAATGTTATAAAACTGATTGATGTCTTATTAATTAAAATCAAATCAAGAGCAAATCAAGAGAGTGACCTGGCTAATTTTTTATACTGCATTTATAAAAGATGTTTGTTAAAATTTGGAAAAAAAATTAAATGAAAAGAAATCATAGTCTGCTACATTCTAAATTGCTAAAGATTAAGATTATTAGATGTAAAAGGAAGGAATATAAAACTGGCCTATTTAATCAAGGTTAAAATAAGATACATGACCATCTCTAGTAATCTTTAATAGACTTTTGCTTTCATGCTGTTTCTTGAATGCAAAAATAGCCACTTGTATCAGAATGTAAATAATTGTTTTGTGATGCTGCAGCTTATTTGGGCTACATCAGAGCTGGATATTTTTGGATGAGAGTTACATATCCTTGTTCCATAACCTCATATGCATGCACATACACACCCCCTTTCTCTGGCAACAAGAATGGGAATGTATGATTGATTGTATACAACAATACCTGTTCCCCAATACTATGGACACTATTCAGGGGTATTTTCCCCAGCCCATTCTCTGCCTCCCACCTCTCCAAGTAATCTTGAGTGGATAAGGAATTCCCAAACATACTTTTCAGATTAAATGAAGTTGCTGGGCATAGAACCACTGGAAGCGGAAGCTAAATAAATTGACAGAGGAAATGGGAAACTTTGGAATACAACCGAATAATAATGGACTGAATGTGATGCCCTTTTTGTAACTAACTAAAATGAGGTGACCAATGAGATGTGAGGAATCTATGGACACTGCAGTGGTTGGACTGAATCATGGACACAAAGCCCTTTAATTCTTCTCATTCCTTCTCCCCCCCATCAATGGCAATGTTTTCTGATAAGTTCTAGCCATTATTTCAATTTTCTGCACTGCCCCAAACAGGCTTTAGATAAAAACAATTGTGAGCCTTAAATAGACACCAGAAGGAAACTGCTAGGAATCATGGTCCTGCCAGTTATCAAAGATGCCAAGTATTAATGGTAAATAATGGCATCTGAGTGATAACAATAGCTCTACCCCATTATTGTTGAAAGCGTGATTTCAGTGCCATTGACTCTTCAGGACCTCACAATCTACTGTACTGGCCATAAGGGGCAATGAGTAGAAATAGAACTAAGGGTTTATTTACTCGGTGTTACTTCTGACTACACTTTTTTGACAAAATTATTGATTGCATGTGACTTTCTCATGCCTTATTCTCAGACTCTTCTGCTGATAGGAAGTAGCTATTTAGGCACCAGTTTTTACATTTGTCTATTGTGTATTTTTAAATAATTCTTTTTGAGTTATAAACCTGCTTCATCATCAATGTTCAGGTTACAGTCCTTCTTTTAGGAATACTCATAGGCAGATGCCAGTGCTTCCCTTCCAACAACTAGTGCACTGTTTTTCAACATTGGCAGCTTTAAGATGTGCAGAATTCTGGGAGTTGAAATCCAGACACCTTAAAGTTGGCAAGGCTAAAAACCCTGAATTGCACTCTTCTAGGATCTGGCACTTACAGGCATATAGTGGATATCAAAGATGGACTGGGTACATTCTTGGAACTAGTATTTCCCCCCTCATTTAGATCTTTGGGGACCAATCTAAAGCTTTATGTACCAGATTTTTAAATTAAACATTGCTACAATTTTTACAAACTATCACCACTACGGTAGAGCATGGTTTTGCTCATGATGATGATAATTTATATTGACTACTAATAGAAATTCTTCCTATTTTCAAAGAAGGCAATATCAAAGTACCTACCACTTATTGGGTTAGTGCACCCTGCACACTTCTTGGCATAGAGGCTACAAAAGCAGTTCAGACAATATGCAAACTCATCTCGGGAAGTGAAACGTTGTCCAGATAGCTGTTTTTTGCATCCAGTACACACAAAACACTCTTTGTGCCATGGTTGCTCTCGGTAAGTAATTCCTCCAGTAGTGATTGGCTGTTTATTTAAAATAGGAATCGGGGGGGGGGGGAGGAAAGAAAGGGAAGAGTTCATTTTTTGTTTACTATGTGCCATCCATGTTCTTTAACTTAAATAAAATGCAAATGTTTTAGAAAGAAAGAGCAAAGTAATCTTGAGCAGTAGCTCCTAATATTTTAAATTAAGATATTGTCCAATGTCCAATCACTCCAAAGGTTTCTATTCAAGAGTTCAAGGTTACAAGCACAAGAAGGCAACACCTTCCATCTCCCCAAAACATACACATATTCATGTGTTACATTTTTCATTATCTCCCCAAGATAATTTCTATTCCCAAACCAAGTTCCCAAACCAACAGGCTTCTCCAAAGGAATCAGTATTGACCGTCAAAGCTTGATATGGCTAGCCATTGTTGTTGTTATTCATGGTTCTATTAAAATAGTATTTCTTAAATTATTTTCATATAATAAATGTTTTGGGGGGTCAATAAATAACCTGAAACTTCATGAGAAGGTCAATAGGCTCAAGAATTTGTGGACTCATGCCTTAGACAGAATTATTCTATTAAATGTAATAGCGGTGAAGAGAAAGATCAGCACTGACTTTGTATCTTCCACCCTTCTGTTATATAACAACACAAATAATATTCTGGACTTTATACTGGAATAGCAATAGATCTGTAGAATTTGGACAGAAACATGATCTTCCATAAAGTGCCCTATAAACATTTTGCCACTGAAACTCTACTTAATTTTCTCTGTGGATCATATTGTAATAGTGTCCTAAGACCATAATGTAGATGTAGGATAGATAGTAAGTTGGAAAGGCTCATGGCTGTTGCGTGGTTTGAAGTTCTATGCTGTTTCAATAACTATGCATTTTAATAATCATCCTGAGACCAGATTTCAAGTATCAGATTTGACTTCCTCTTTATCAATTGACTCAGAGGAAGTGATGTCTTTTCCTTACTATCAAACTATATTATTCTGTACCAATTCCTGAGTCATCCTAAAAAGTCTTCTGGCAAGAAATTTGCCATCCTTGTTATTTATCCCCACTTATCATCATTGACTTTCAGTCCTAAGCATCTGAATTCCTCTCACTGTAACAAGGTATGGCAAAACTCAACAGATTTTATATATTCTAAAGCTAACTTCAGCTTAGTAATAAGAAGAAAATCCTATTTACTTGAACTATAATCTAGCCCAGGAATGCGGCCCGTGGGGTGCTTAGATCTGACCCGTGGGGCCACCCTGGAGACAGTGAAGGACCCGCCTGCGGTGTCTCTGCCAGCAAAAATGGAACTTGTGAGGGACGCTCACAGCCTTCCCGAATGTTGTTTTCACTGGCAGAGGGTTGTAGGAAGCTGTTGAAGCCGAAAACGGAGCTCGGGACTCCGTTTTTGCTAGCAGAGCACTCGGGCCACCATAGGCCTGACGAGTGACGTTGAGCTGGTCATGTCTCCTGGCCACCTCCCACCCACCCCCCAAGATCAAACACAACTCTGATGCGGCCCTCAGTGAAATCGAGTTTGACACCCCTGATCTAGCCCAAGACAACTTAAGGTTTAGAGAGGCTGAAGGCAAGATAAAGACAACATAATGGAGACATGATATTGCCAGAACATGTGTGTATTATGGTTAGATGCAAGCAGGAACACAGTTGCAGCCGCAGGGTGAACAATGCACTAACAAACTCCTAATCTGATTCAAACACTCACTGCAGAATTCAGGCAACTGCAACATAAATGGTAAAGAACAGATAAGAAGCCTCAAGATAGATTCTTTCTCATAGTTCTTGAGTTTCTGTGTGGACTTCAAGTTCCAAAACTGGTGGACTTTAACTCCCAGAATTCCCCAGCCAGACATGCTGGCTAGGGAATTCTGGGTTGAAATTCACCCAAATTAAAGTTACTAAGGTTGAGAAATGTGATTGTAATGAATAACTCAGAGAGCACAGCAAAGGCAGAGTTTTCTCCCTGTTCCTTTCTCTGGTCTTATTTCTCTTCCACAATTATGCCATTGATAAGAAAGCGTTTATTTTAGATCAATTTATCTTTCAGTATCAGATTTAACAAAAGAAAGGGCAGGTTATGGTAGGATAATAGCCTGGAACAATTGGCTTATATAAAGAGGAGAAGCAGACAAAATACAGTCAGGTCCAGAAATATTGGGACATCGACACAATTATAACATCTTTGGCTCTATACACCACCACAATGGAGTTGGAATGAAACAAACACAATGTGCTTTAACTGCAGACTGTCAGCTTTAATTTGAGGGTATGTACATCCAACTCAGGTGAACGGTGTAGGACTTACAGCAGTTTGCATATGTGCCTCCCACTTGTTAAGGGACCAAAAGTAATGGGACAGAATAATTATCATAAATCAAACTTTCCTTTCTTAATACTTGGTTGCAAATCCTTTGCAGTCAATCACAGCCTGAAGTCTGGAATGCATAGACATCACCAGACGCTGGGTTTCATCCCTGGTGATGCTCTGCCAGGCCTCTACTGCAACTATCTTCAGTTCCTGCTTGTTCTTGGGGCATTTTCCCTTCAGTTTTGTCTTCAGCAAGTGAAATGCATGCTCAATGGGATTCAGGTCAGGTGATTGACTTGGCCATTGCATAACATTCCACTTCTGTCCGTTCAAAAACTCTTTGGTTGCTTTTGCAGTATGCTTTGGGTCATTGTCCATCTGCACTGTGAAGCGCTGTTCAATGAGTTCTGCAGCATTTGGCTGAATGTGAGCAGATAATATTGCCCGAAACATTTCAAAATTCATCCTGCTGCTTTTGTCAGCAGTCACATCATCAATAAATACAAGAGAACCAGTTCCATTGGCAGCCATATATGTCCACGCCATGACACTACCACCACCATGCTTCACTGATGAGGTGGTATGCTTAGGATCATGAGCAGTTCCTTTCCTTCTCCATACTCTTCTCTTCCCATCACTCTGGTACAAGTTGATCTTGGTCTCATCTGTCCATTGGATCTTCTTCCAGAACTGTGAAGGCTTTGTTAGATGTTGTTTGGCAAACTCTAATCTGGCCTTCCTGTTTTTGAGGCTCACCAATGGTTTACATCTTGTGGTGAACCCTCTGTATTCACTCTGGTGAAGTCTTCTCTTGATTGTTGACTTTGACACACATACACCTACCTCCTGGAGAGTGTTCTTGATCTGGCCAACTGTTGTGAAGGGTGTTTTCTTCACCAGGGAAAGAATTCTTTGGTCATCCACCACACTTGTTTTCCGTGGTCTCCTGGGTCTTTTGGTGTTGCTGAGCTCACCGGTGCATTCCTTCTTTTTGAGAATGTTTCAAACAGTTGTTTTGGCCACGCCTCATGTTCTTGCTATCTCTCTGATGGGTTTGTTTTGTTTCTTCAGCCTAATGATGGCTTGCTTCACTGATAGTGACAGCTCTTTGGATCTCATCTTGAGAGTTGACAGCAACAGATTCCAAATGCAAATAGCACACTTGAAATGAACTCTGGGCCTTTTATCTGCACATTGTAATTGGGGTAATGAGGGAATATCACATACATGGCCATGGAACAGCTGAGAAGCCAATTGTCCCATTACTTTTGGTCCCTTAACAAGTGGGAGGCACATATACAAACTGCTGTAAGTCCTACACTATTCACCTGAGTTGGATATACATACCCTCAAATTAAAGCTGACAGTCTGCAGTTAACGCACGTTGTGTTTGTTTCATTCCAACTCCATTGTGATGGTGTATAGAGCCAAAGATGCTAGAATTGTGTCGATGTCCCAATATTTCTGGACCTGACTGTACGTATTTCAGAGCATAACATTTCATAGCATAATAAACTTTACCTTCTTGCACTGTACACACTGCATAGCGAACTGCTTCTCATAGCAGGGCACACAGAAATTCTGATTGTCCTTGGGAATAAAACTCTTTGTTCCAATGGGCTGTTGGCACCGATGGCAGATAAAACAGGTCTCATGCCAGCTGCTTCCCTTATATTCCATCTTCCGTGTCCCTATGAGAAGAATAAACCCAGGACCACCCTTTAAGTTGTTACAGCACCAAAAACATAGAGATTCCATGTTTCATTTCTACCTATTCCATTTTCCAGTTAGTAAAAGGGAAGAATCTGGACAGGTTGCCAAAAATTAATCAGGAATAATGGTATCCTATAATCTTTAATTTCTCAGATCCTCAATAGCAATAGTAATAGTGCTTAGACTTATATACCGCTTCATAGTGCTTTACAGCCCTCTCTAAGCGGTTTACAGAGTCAGCATATTGCCCCCAACAATCTGGGTCCTCATTTGACCGACCTCGGAAGGATGGAAGCTGAGTCAACCTTGAGCCTGGTGAGATTCAATCTGCCAAACTGCTGGCAGCCAGTGATCAGCAGACGAAGCCTGCAGTACTGCACTCTAACCGCTGCACCACTTTGGCTCTCTCTATACTAAATACTACTAAATACTAAATGCTAAAAATAAGCCCTCTGAAGAATAAGTTTCCCTAATTTGATGCCCTTCAGACACCACAACAGATATTGCTAACCCAAGTGGCCACTAGATGGCAGGAAAAGATATGAGATTTTTTTTCTGCCACCTAGTGGCTGTGTGTGTTATTGCAGTCTGGATATGGCAACCCTGGGCATTGTAGAATAACATTTCTAATTGACCCCAAAGAGGATTATTTATTAAATGAGTTCACACAATGGAGCTAAGGCATCATGGTTGGTCTCCAACCATGGTTGGTTGAAACACAGCTGTTAAAATCTTGGGATTTTTGCTTCTTTTTGAGGGGACAGGAACTGATTTTTATTGGAGGAAGATCATTTCAAGTCGTACACAAAAGGATCTATGAAATTCCCTTTTAAAATGAACAAACATGAAAAATTGTTTTGCCCTTCATAATTCATCCTTTTTTGTAATAGCAATATGGCAATATTGGTTTATAAGGAAGCTTAAGGAAGACTGAAAGGAGGATAATATAGAACTAGTTAGAAACCCTAACTCCGTAAAAAGAAACAGAAAAACTTCTGATTGTACCTACAATATATATGTTGCAACTCTGCCTTTTCTGCAGCTTCTCTGCACTGTTGTTCTTGGCCTTTCAAAAGACATCCAGTGCAGTTCCCACCCACCCCTCATCCCAGCTTAACTGCCCTGTATAAAAAACGTTCTCTGCTGGCTGAAGAACACATTTCTACTAGATCAGTGGTGGGTTTCAAAAATTTTCACTACCGGTTCGATGGGCATGGCTAGGTGGGGGGCATGTGACTGAGTGGGCGTGGCCAACTTGATGTCACTCATGCCACGCCCACTCAGTCACATGACCCCTCCCCACCTAGCCATGCCCACAGGAAAAAGTAAGAAAATTTTTGGAATTTCCACCTATCTACTCCCGCCCTCCCTTCACCAGTCGCCCCCGTTTCCCCTCCTTTAGCGGCCCTGGCCCTAGCCCCGCTTCCTCCTCCACCACCGCCTCTTTGTTCGGATTGCTTACCTTCCGCAGCGGCTGGCCAGAGTCCGGAAGGCAAGCTGACCGGAGTTTACAGTAGCCTCTAGCCAGCCTCCACTGCTGGAAAACGGCTGGCAAAGAAGCCTCCCAGCCACCACCTCTTTAAGAGCCACTTTGCAGTTGCGGTGGTTAGCTGCAGGCTGCTGAAAAGTATCAGAGGTTGCAGAAAAAGCTGCTGCCATCGCCGTCATGTTCTTCGCTCATGTGCATCCCATTGGACTTGCAAGGCAATGGGATGCGCGGGTGTGAAGAACATGGCGGTAATGAACATGGTGGGTGGGCAAGCGAGCAGCGACCGGGGGACTGGTTCGGGGGCATGGCCAGCCGGCTATTGCTACCAGTTTGGCAATCTTGGCCAAATTTCCGCCAACTGTTTGCATGAACCGCTGCGATACCACCTCTGTACCAGACCATTGGAAGGCAAATAAAAGTATTGATAAAGCATCTTACAAAAGAACCTTCCTCTGGTTTTAGAAAGTATTTCACGAAAACCCTTTTGTGTCTCCAGAGCAGACAAGATCTAACCTGGCATGATGGTCTTTTTGCACTCGCTACACTTGGAGGAGTATTCATTTGAGTAACATTCGGTACATAGGAGGTGTTCTTCCTTCGCAGCAAAAGGTTTGTCCACCAAGGAGTTCTTGCACTGGAAGCAATGGAAGCAGGTTTCATGCCAATGACGATCCTTGTAGGACAGGTCCTGTGGAAATCCCAAACCACATAAGCCTACGTGAAGAAATACTCCATAACCTTGAGACAAATTGATCACATGAGGATTGACAACTAATGGAAATGTGACCAGATATGATATTTGAATCTATCTAAATTTAACCTCTAGTTTTCTAGCCAGCATTCATTAAAAAAAACCAAAACTTTGAATAAGCCACTGCTATCCTTTTAATAAACACAAGCTGTATGAATGGCCCTTTTACCCCCTTTTACCATAAAAATATTATGCACTGACATTTTTCCATGTTTTATCCTTGGGCTGTATGTAGTATCTTTGTAGTCTGTCCAGAGTTGTATCCTTGTATGAATGAAGGTGAATAGGATGTGCCCCAGGATAATGTTGCAGGATCCAATCCGGGTTGGTCACCAGGATCAGACTCCAATACTTCCAATGTAATCTACTGAATCCCCTGCATGGATTGCTTCTGTGACAATGTAGGACAGATGGGGAGGAAGCTAACCATCAGATTGCAAGAACACAAGCAAACAGTCAGATGAAGAGACCCAAACTCATTGGTAGCTTCAACTGCAATGAACAAGGACATACATTCAGTTTTGAAGTCACCAAGATTGTTGGATCAGCAGGCACAAAAATAGCCAGAGAAGTAATTGAAGCCTGTCAGTCAACAGGAGTGCTGATTTACCACCAGCTTATCAAATACTTAGGAGGTGAGGGCTTGGCAACATAAGGAAACAACAGCCAATGACTTAATAGCTGGTCATCAACACCCCGATCAACAACTAAAAAGTCGTACACAACTTTATAATACCACACACAGACACACAAGCATATACTCTGCTAGAGAAAAGTTCCTAGAAGATGAGCTCCAGCACGAGTCCGAAAGCTCAGAAGATTAAACCTCTGGTCCTGGTGACACACCCAGATTGGATCCTGTGTCCTTGTATGCTATCCAGAGTCACTATTGTGAAATAGATGGCTATACACACATACAAACACACATACAAACCACGGGTGAAATCCAGCAGGTTCTGACAGGACCTGGAAAACTGGTAGTGAAAATTTTGAGCAGTTCGGAGAACCAGTAGCGGAAATTTTGAGTAGTTCAGAGACCGGCAAATACCACCTCTAACTGGCCCCAGAGTGGAATGGGAATGGAGATTTTGCACTATCCTTCCCCCAGGAGTGGGGTGGGAATGGGGATTTTGCAGTATCCTTCCCCTGCCATGCCCACCAAGCTACGCCCACAGAACCGGTAGTAAAAAAAAAAATGGATTTCACTACTGATACAAACACATTGTGAATGCAATTCTATGCATCTCGCTGGAGCAGAGAAGTTTGGGACCAGGTTATTCATGCGTTTGCTGCTAGGTTTATTCATTCTTGATGTCAACTTCAAGATTTTCCTTGCTCTCTCTCTTAGGGTTCTTTACCTAAAATCCATATCGGATTTTAGGTAAAGATTAGGGGAAAAATGCTACCATATGACATCTCCGATAAAGCCAATTCCCATATTAGAAGAGCCTTACTTTACAAGATGGCTTGCACTTTACTAATAATCAAATTAATAAAATAATCAAATGAACATTACTTAGAACTGGGCTGCTGGAAAATTTTTACTTTTTTATTTCTCATGGAATTTTATTTCAGATTCAGTCAAACATGCCTTCCTGTGTTCATCAATTTTTTTATTTTCCTGCTAAACTGAGTGGAAAACAAACCATAAAATACGGACAGCTGCTGACCTTTGCAGAACTATGCATATACAAATCTGTTTTACTGGGGTTTAGCTTGATGTGATTTATTATTTAATGCAAGAATGGGATCTTAGAATTGCATTATTTAGCGTATGGCACGTGTTAGCCAGGGATCACCGAAGCAGCTGGCTGCCACTGTGAAAGGAATTTTATTTTACCCGTGGGACTCCTGAATGCCTGTAGGCAATCTGGGGAGGCTCCTTTCCTGTCCCTATGCGGTTTATTCACTCATGGGAATCGAACCGCCAAGCTGCCATCCTCAGTGGAGTGCAAGCTCAGCGTCTTACGTGAGCCACCATGGCCCCCTTTAGAATTGCAATTAAGGAGTATTAAAAAGATATTATGAGAAACCTATATGCCAAGCTTGTCTCCTGCACACAAGTAAAGATGTACCAGGCACTCAAATCATGTATCATCAGGAGAAACTCACATACTTATTATTTTCAATAATTTTGGAAAGTACTGTCTACTGAAATGTTTCTCAAGCTTAGCAGCTTGAAAATGTGTGGAATTCAACTCCCAGAATTCCCCAGCCATCTTGAAGATATGTGGACTTCAACTCCCAGAATGGCTATTCTGGGAGTTGAAGTCTACATATCTTCAAGATGCTAAGTTTGAGAAATACTGACCTATTGTTTATCATTTCTGTGAGTTACTGGATGGTTAATACCGTACAACCATCAATATCTGCTTGGTCATTCTCTCCCATTGTAGTTAAGACATCAAGTCAATGCATAAACAAGCATGTGTGAACACACCACTTTTCACCTATATTCCCCCATCGCTAACAAATATTTTCTTAGTTGTTCACCCAGAGAGGAAGGGGCCCACCATCTTCTATGACTCACTTATTTGCTCTTGCAGAAGGGCCTGTGGTGTAGGAGAGATCAGGTAGCATTAAGCTTCCCCAATCCCTCTGTCTGAGTTGAAAAGTTCAACTAATTCCTGCCTTGCTTTGAGATATCTTGAAGACAGGCCAGCAAAGGGATTCAGGAATGTCAACACACACAAAGTGCACAAGGGATTTTTTTTTTTTTAAAAAAAAAATCCTACTCAAAAGAAATTCTGGGAAGAAACAGTTTGTCAGCTTCAGGAATTTCCACATACTAACCTCTCTTTTTTTGGCTTTTTGGGTTTGCTTCTGCTGGCTGCCCCCCTTCCCCAGAAGTCTAAAATAAATTAAACTAATAAACTAATTAATCATATTAGTTTATTTTGGACACTTGGCAATCAGCTCATTTTTATCAACATTTGCAGCATCCAGTGGCCACATCTGCAATTTTTGCTGTTTTTTGCTGGATTTTGACATTTACTTCCAGTTTTCAGCAAAAAAGCACCCACTGGATATAATGGCTTCATTTAACAACTGTGGCATTTGCTTAAACCGCCATGGTGTTTGCTTAACAACCACTGCAAAATATTTAATAAAATCAGGTCTGGTCACATGGTGACCCACTGAAGGACTGCAACAATTAACAACCATAAATCTGGGCTCAAATACGGTCATAAATCAAGGACGACCTATAATATATTTTTGCAATTTAGATTTTCAGTTATATAATTTTTAACATTTTATAAAAATAAGGGAAGTAAAAAGGCCTATTTGTTACTTGGTTACTTTTATGAATGGGAACAAATAAGTCTTTGTTGCTTTTATTAAAGGGTTGTATTCTTTCCCTTTATCCCACGTCTGTCCTCCTCACAAATCAAGTTGATTCCTTGTGCCTTAAGCTGGGGAATCATTCAAGCATCTTGCCCAGGCTAGGATGAGTACAGTGCATGGGAATGGGTTCCCTCAAATCCAGCAGCACTTCTGGTCCTTCTTGGTTTTCGTGGTATTTGTTTTAATATAGAAAAGAAAAGAAGCAGAATGCATCAGAAGGAAAAACAAAGTCAAACCAAAAAATTGCTTATCTCAGGACTAGAGAAAAGCAACATCTGGAGCAGCTGTTATAAGGAAACTCTGCTTTGGCTGTTTTGAAAAGTTCCAATGAACCAAAGCCATTCGAAATGCATATATTTCTTGCACCACTTGACATGGGGAGAATCAGGGGTGGGCTTCAAAAATTTTAGCAAGGGATTCTCTGCCCGGTTGCTGGGTGGGCGTGGCCATGGTAGGTGTGGCCTACCATGGCCACGCTTCCTGCACCATGACAGGGGGCGAGTTTTTGCCCTCCCGGGCTCTGGAGGTTTTCCTCAAGCCTCTCGGAGGGCGAAAACGGCCTCCCCAGCTCCGGAGGCCCTCTGGAGGCCGGAAGCAGGCCCGTTTCTGACCTTCCCGAACTTCCAGTAGGCCTGTTTTTTACCATCCCCGAGCCTCCATGCACGCCCTACGCTTACCTGCATCCAAAATGGGCCGCATGGGGATGCCTGGGAGAGACAGGGTGGGATGGGCCAGCCAGGAGTGGGATTTGGGGGTTTTCCAAACTGCCCAGAATCTTAGCTAGAGGTTCTCCCGAACCCCTGCGAATCCCCAGCAGTCAACCCCGGGTAGAATCCTTGGGGAACCTTTTGGAGAGACCCGATGGCAAGTAAGGAAGCTTAGGTCAGAGAAAAGGCAGGGCAGCCTACCTTACAATCACAGCCAATTGGCTTCTTACATTCTTCACAGTTGTTGGAGTACAAGCTCTCATAGCACTTGATGCAGTAGGGACTCTCCTCCTTCAAAATATATTTCTTGCCAAACAGCGTCTCCTTGCAATAGTGGCAGTCAAAGCGTTCAGTCATGTTGGCATCAGGGATTTGATCAGGCTGTAAACAAAAAGATGAGAAGTGTTAAGTTCAAAAGGGTGGAACATCAGCAGGGAGGAGGATGAAGATGATTCCACGATTCCTTCTAGGAGCCTCACTTAGGATGACATATGAAAGGACCCTTCAGACAGTCATTCAGATGCCTTGATCATCTCATGGCTTGACTAGTGTAACCCAAAAGCTTCAATGGGCCCAGAATGCAACAACTATAGGCAGCGATGTGCATGTCTTGGAATGCCTATGTAACACCTCTGCTCCACAAGCTGCACTGATTCCCAATGTACTTCCAGGTGCAATTCAAGGTGCTGGTCACTGCCTATAAAACCCTACTTGGCATAAGGCCTTTTAGCCTGAGAGAACACCTGTCTCCCATAGTATTTGCCTGGCTGGTTCAAGGAGTTGGCACACTCCAGATTCCTTCCATTATACAATGTTATCTATCAGATGCGTGCCTTCTGTAGTTGTACCTGCTCTCTGGAACCTGGTTTCCACCCAGATTCCAATGGTCCCTACCCTATGTATTCAAAGGACCCTGAAGACGTGGCTCTTCAACCAAGTCTTTGGTGAGGATGATTGACCTCTCTTTTCTTCTTTTTCTTTCTTCTATTCTGGGTTTGCTTTCTCTGTCATCTTTGCTTCTTTTGTTGTGTTGTGTTTGGGTTTTTTTGTCTTTTTGTGTCATTTCTTTGTTTTTAAAAGTTTTTAACGATTTACAAACTATCCAAAGTCACTGAAAGGGGGAAGCATATAAATTCAATAATATTATTATTATCTTCTGATAGGAAAAGAAGATGAGCTTGTGAATTGACAGCTTGCTAACCCCAGGATAGGATCTTCACCAGAGCTCCTTTTGTGTGATAAATACAGTAAGGATAGTAGCTTTCCAAAATATAATAGCCTATCAGAATACAGATGGATAAACTGTATAGTCAGTAGTGGGTTTCAATTTAGTTTGCTACTGGTTTGCTCATGTGCGCGTGCTCGCGCACAATGCTTCTGCACATGCGCAGAAGCGTCCGGGCTGGTGGGTGGAGCGTCCCGCTGCCACTGCTACCGGTTCACCCGATCTGGGGCAAACTGGTAGCAACCCACCACTGTGTATAGTGCAATATCCTTTCTGCTTTGAGCATGAGCACAAGACTGATATCTTCTGTAGGGGAAACAAGATGAACCGGGAAAGCCATATATTTTCGTTTTCATGGGGAGAATAATATCAGGAGCAAATATCAGGTTAAATGGCATCATTGCATTGCTGTAAATGTCTCCTAACTTTAGAAACTCTAGATCTGTCATGTAAAATTAACCTTGGTGATTAAGCAATGTTGTGAGATTTTCTCCCAGTATTAACATAGCCTAGTACGGGTAGTGTTTGTAGATCCACCCCTTGTTTTGATCATGCCTGATAATCGAGGAGACCTTTGAAATCTACACATATTTGCAACCATTCTCTGTGGATATTTGAACAGTCACAAGCATGATAAGGAAGCCTGTACAGAAGTCCTGCTGATTTTCACCACAGAATGGGTTTTTTTTTAAAAAAAAAAAAAAAAAAAAAGAAAAATGTTGTATATTTACTATTCTGTATTCAATCTGAAAAAATGTTTGGAATGTTTCCTTGCAGGCTCAAAAAACTGCAGGTAGAAGATCCATCATTCCATTCCATTGTTCAATTGCAGATAATGGGAAATGGCCACTTTCGTTCTATCAACTTGGATTGCTCCTGTCAATCAAGGGTTCAGAAATTTCATTTCATTGATGGGGCTTCTAATGTTCCTAGGCCTGTCATACAGACTGATCTTCAAAGCAAGTTGCTTCAATGGAGCAACTTTCCTAATCATTGTTGAAAATCTTCTTCTATCATCGTTAATATTTGTAAGATACCCAGGAAGTTTGTTCACATGCATAAAGTAATCATGAGAATACATCAGGGTTGAGAGAGAGGGAAGGAGGGAGGGAGGGAGGGATTTTTTCCCCAAAGCCTGCCACATCTATGTCCTTCTTTAAATCAAGTGTAAGAAGTTAGCTTTCTTCCAACACAAGCATTCAGCTTTATGAACATAAGAACATCGGCAGTGCCTGTAGGAGACCAAAAAAACCATAAGAAACAAAATGGGGACTGCACCAATTTTCCCCTTTGTCTTTTGGATATGACCAAAGTCAAATTTAGTTCATCTCTTGGCCTAATCCCCATCAGACTGAAATGGACCTTCCTTATCCCCAGACAAAGCCCAATGCAAGCTCATCTACACCAAAAAATAGTTGGCCTCATCTCACCTGCCCTCAGTCTAGTCCAAGACCAGTGAATTACAACATAAAGAAACTCCAACATTCCATCCTATATCAATTGATGACCTCAACATTCCATCTCCACTGCAATGGACTTTCCAGCTCTGCTGCCCTCCTGAAAGGTCTATTTACCTAATAATAGAACTAACCACAGGTACACTGAACCTGACAGGCAGCCAGCAAATCAGATCCCTAGGATTTCCTACCTTGTATCAAAATCTTTGTTTTTCCTTTGTTCAGGGTCCCTCTTTTTGTAAAGCAGCCCCTCAATGATCCTTGATTAAACATGGTTCTTCTCCTCAATGACCTCTGGGACAGTCAGACTACCATCAAAACTAATTTACAGCCATTAATTTACAGGATTTCCATGAATGGTATACTAATTTTTGAAGCCAACACTATATACCATGGCAGAAAATTCCAGCGCTCAATTGTTTTGTGCAAAAAATATGTCTATTTGTCTGTCCTGATTCTTGCAGTACTCAATTTCATTAGGTGACCTTTGGTCCTAGAATTTTGGAAAGAGGAAAATAGCTTCACCTTGTCCACTTTATCCATATTTTGCATACCATTGTACATTTCAATCATGTTCTCTCTTATATGTCCCCTTTCTAGACTAGAAAAGCCCCAAATGTCATTCCTTTGCAGAACTGATACAAGAGACAGTAGCAGTTATCAAAATAATTCTGCAATGGAAATATTTAGTAACATTGTCCTGTTAACTCAAATTCTTAGGATGGTTTTAAAATGAAGAATGAAACTAGGGAAATTGTGGGAAAAGAGCAAATGTTGTCATGGATAATTTTAAGTTGCCTCACATAGTCTGAACAAAATAATGTCTGGTCATGAAAAAGAAATAATGCATCTAATGGACTGTGCTTTGAAGACAGGACAAGAAGCAATAGAGAGAAACTAAACTAAGAGAGAATCAGCCTACAACTTAAAGAGTTCTACAATTTTTTTCTTGAAGATCACCCAGAAATTACCATTGGTCCAGAATGCAGTCACTTGCACAGTGCTAAGCATCCTTCAGTTTGCCTATGTTGCATTTTCTCTGTGTGAACAGGAGTGGCTCCCAGTTTCTTTTGGGATGTAATTCAAGATGTTGAAACTTCTGGCAGTGAGCTGAATTAGCCTGCAATACTAAATTCTAACTACTGCACCACAACAGCTCCTCTGCCTGTTCTGTCAGGCTGGGCAACTCCAGATCCCTTTCCTTAAAGGCTGCTGTCTAGTGGGGTGTAAGAAGTGTGCATTCTCTGTAGCAGCCTCTGCATTGTGAAATATCCAACCCTTTTAGACTTCTGAAAAACCATGAAGGTTTGGCTTTTTTCTCTAGCACTGAGATAAAGTGAGGTTGAATTCTATGAATTCTATGGTTTCATAGATTGGAAATTGCGGGTTTTCTAGCATTTGGTTCTATTATTGTTATGAGCTACCCACAGTTATGTTTTACAAGATGGGATGCTATATAAGGTGTATGTATGTATGTATGTATGTATGTATGTATGTCAGGGGTGGGTTCTACTTACTTTTACTACCGGTTCGCAATGGGGCCGCGTGCTCATGCTCATGCGCCCACGCACTCTTCTGCACATGCGCAGAAGCATTCTGATGACGGCGGGGTCGGTGGGCAGAGCCTTCCATCGGTTTTACCACTGGTTCTATAGAACCGGTGCGAACCAGGGGCAACCCACCACTGATGTATGTATGTGTGTGTGTATGTATGTATGTATGTATGTATGTATGTATGTACAAAGTATATAAATAAGACTAGACTGGCACCTGATGTCCTTCTTTCCCATTTTGGGTAAAAAGATAAAAATTTTAAAGAGCTCAAAGGATATAAAAATATTATTGTCTTCACAGTGATATCTATAAAGTTCCCAGCAGCAGATAAATTTTTGTCTTTCAACAAAGATACTAAGGGCAAGAGTGCGGAAAACATACCTTTAATCCACAAGTTTTAATATCCATCAGTTGGAATAATCATCTCACTTTCCCTGAACCTGCACCAGAAGAAAAAAGTGGTTTCCATGTCTGTCTATATATTAACCAACTTTTTTTTACACGGAAATCAGTTTTATTAGAAGACAACTGAATTATGCTACATTCATAGTTTAAAGTGTATCAAATGAGAACTTTGACTCTCCTGAGGGTGTAAATTATGTCAGCAATCAACCAGTGTCATTGAATTCCACACACATTTCACTTTCATCGTACTGACCCCCATCCCCTGTCTCCAAATTTTCAAAACAAGAAGCGAAAGAAGGCAATTGGGCAACAGCAAAGAATTACCAAGACATTATCTAGGATTTTGCAATCTAAATAGATAAGGAAGATTCAGTTAAAGAATACTATTGCTAGGAAATATCAAGTTGGCTTCGAAAAAAGTTCCTTTTGTGCCTGGCTCAGAGAAAAAGAGCCACCAATTGCTTCAATTATTGTTGATCCTGCATTTGGCCACCAACCAACTCTTATAGTGGTATAAAATTTTACAATTATCCATTGGAAAAATATATTGTACTAAAAGGGTATGACTAACTTGGAAAGTATAAATGTTTATAGTTGGCAATAGACTGATGTCAACATGTGATCATTCTTTTAGATACTTTAGGATTTCATTCAGTCATTTACAGTACAAGATTTCTATTTCTCTCCATCTCTTAATCATATGCCTACAGACGTTTGACTCATGCATTATGCAGCTAAACCATAATGCATTTTGCTTAGATTTAGCTGAGAATGTGAACTATGAACTCTGTCAAATAATGATCTCAATTTAAGCAATACAGCATTATGACATACAGTAAGCCAGGTTAAAGTAAAACTCTATTAATGTCTGAGGTTTGGCATCTCTCTCATCCCTCTCTCAGCTTTTGGAAAAGAAATAAAAACTTTTTTTAAAAAAAAACACCAAAAGATATCAAAGAATTATTGTTTTGGCAGTCACCAAATTGGCCAGAGACTTCTAGAAAGATCTCAGGCACATTCGTTCTTCTTCCTTCCTCTTTACACAATTAGTTTCCTTCCCACATAAAGGAAAAAAAATGACTAAACATATTAAGGATTTGTCAGCTCTACACAACAGGAAGAAAGAGACCTCCTTTTAAGAACTCCTCACCCTACTTTCTTTGGAGCATGTGGGTTGTTTTATAAATCTGTGGTGATTTATTCAATCTGTAGAATGCAGGCCAGCTCATACTGGGCTATTTAACCTGGGGAATGTTTAGAATGTGCACTTTTCCTTCTCATGCAATAAATTGAAAGTCCGAGTTTCGATCAGCAACAGGAGCTTGGCGTGGGGTGCAGATTTTTCTAAGGCTGCGGGGGACAGGCTGCTATAATTTTTCTTTTCTATGTTCAGTGTTGAGTTTCAAACTGTAGGATAGAATCCAGTCTTTCTATCTGAAAGTATCCCTAAGTAATGTCTGCACATTAGTTTAGTTCAGAAGACATATATTAAGGCCATTTTTGAAAGTGTATCTCTTTATACAATATTTATTGATATTATAATAATTTTGTATTCAAATAAATCTCCTTGTAAATGCTAGAGTCCAGGCCTGTCAAACTGGTGGCCCTTGGGCCGGATGTGACACACACACAGGCCACGCCTACCCCAGCTCCGCAAAGGCAAAAAACATCACGCTACGTCACATGACGCAATCGAGTTTGAAACCCATGTGCTAGACAAATGAGGAAAGTACTATAGCAAGTTTTTTCTATTCCCATAATATAATCTAGCAGAAGTAAATTGTGACAATGTATAGTTGATATCAATGGGAGTAAATGCACTGATTAAACTTTTAACCAGATTTAAATGGGGCATGAAGTCCTTTTGATAGACTGAATTTCAAACCTTCAAGCTCTGCACAAAATTTATCTTGCTTCAGGGGAAGAAGGATAATAAAGTAATATAATGAATGATAAACCAAATAATAATTTCTTTTAACAGCGTTCAGAGATGATTTTGAATATCATGGGCAGTAATCCAAAGATATTCTGAATAAAAAGGAAAATGCAGTGGTAATAATCTACTATGGTGGAAAGAGACATAAAGCATTCTGGATTAACAATGAAGTAAATATGTAAATAACTCACAAAACATGAAAATAGGTGCTGACTGTAACATATATCATGTACCGGCATGTACCACAGAGAAAATAGTATAGCTGTCAAAGGGTCAATGGGAAAAAAAAACTTTGCTCCATGCTAATATGATAAATTGTGAATGCTATAATTTTTCTGATGTGTAATACAGAGATCACAAGAATGCAAACGGGCAAGGCACCCTTTGTTTTCTGTGCTTCTGCAGAACTGGAAAATCTAATAGGGTTCTTTGTTCCTGTACGGATCAGGATATATTTCCAGGAAGACAAATAAATCAAGATGTCACCCGTTTCTGATCGTCTCTGGGGCTTATTCAACATAGCATCTGCCGGGGGAAAAAAAATGTCCTAATGCACAATGACATGCTGGGGATATCCCTTGGCTAACTTGTCACAAGCAGAAAAGAGCAATTTCTCTGAAGATAAAGAAGAAACACATAACTCCTGCCCTATCACCAGCCCCTGTCTGGAGTTTTTTTAAAAAGGGCAATCATTCCCTATTTGGATATCTATATATCTTATGCTTAGGGTTTTTCTGTCCCATCCAACCTCACAGCACACAGCCTTTGTTAATTACTGAAAAACCTCTCAGGGTTCATTGATTGGTTCAAAGATTCTTTGGGACAAAAAAAAAAAAGGGAGGTGTACTTACAGGCAGATAATTAGTAGCAGCCTCTGGAGCTCGGATGGAGAATCTCATCCATTTATGAATGGGTAACCGGGTGCTCAGCTAGAAGAGAAGGGGTGTGCGGTTAGCGAAGGAATCCTTACGTCTGTGCACTCTGGAGTCCTTTTCCACTGTCTGTGTGGTGTGGAAGCAGGCGTCTGCCTTCACAGCCTAGTGAAAAACCCCTGTGTATCATTTTACCATATATGGAGAGAAAAGAACCGAGACACTCACTCTCTGCGCTCAAAGCAGCTGGCATTCTCTGAAGAAGTCGTTCCTCTCCACACCTACCTCTCTCTCCCAAGTCATCACCCTGCCTTTGATCAGTTCCACTCCACAGGGCTTTCAATCATCATCGCCATCGTCATCGCCGGGCTCCCCACTCCTGTATTTATTTCCTTGTGACAGATGTGCCTAAACATTTGAAATCTTTCTTTCTAAGCAATACCTGCGGCTTGCATCAGAAAGAGAGCAAGAAGTTCACAAATGAAGTTTTTCAATATTTACTTACGTGTCCACACCCTCGTCTTTATTAATCTTACACCTCTTCACCTAGTTAAGGTCATAAACAAGAGGAGGATGAGATTGGATGGCTCGTTCTTTACTGCCCATTGAGAAGTAATCTAATATCTAGAGCAGCCTTCCTTCATCCGGATGTTGGTGAAAAGTGGTAGGCAACAAGGGTGGGCAAAGGCCACATGTCCCAGAATTCAATGAATTAAATCTTCCCTCCCCTCCCCTTCCCTTTCTTTTCTAAAATTTTTTAAACCTTTTAATAGCTGAAGCTATCTGGGTGGTTTACAATAAACACACTAAAAAGGAAAATAAATAAGACATCATAAAAGTAGGCAGCTGCAAAGTGGTAATTCTCGACTACAATTGAGCCCAAAATTTATGCTGCTAAGTGACATATTTGGTAAGTGAGTTTTGCCTCATTTTACAAGCTTTCTTGTAAAGTAACAGGGTTGTTAAGTGAATCTGGCTTCTCCATTGACTTTGCCTATCAGAGGATCATGAAAGGGGGTCACATGACCTCAGGACACGGCAACTGTCATGAAACGGTTGCCAAACATCTCAATTTTTATCACGTGACCATGGAGAAGTTGCAACTATCGTAAGTGTTAAAAAACAGTTATAAATCACTTTTTTCAGGTCCGTTATAACTTCAAAATGTCACTAAATAGACTGTTGTAGGACAAATATCCAGGAGGAATATCCAGGGGTGAAATCCAGCAGGTTCTGACAGGTTCTGGAAAACTGGTAGTGGAAATTTTGAGCAATTCAGAGAACTGGCAGCGGAAATTTTGAGTAGTTCAGAGAACCAGCAAATACCACCTCTGGCTGGCTCCATTCTGGTGGGAATGGAGATTTTGCAATATCCTTCCCCCAGGAGTGGGGTGGGGATGGAGATTTTGCAGTATCCTTCCCCTGCCACGCCCACCAAGCCACGCCCACCAAGCCACACCACGCCCACCAAGCCACGCCCACAGAACCTATAGTAAAAAAATTTGGATTTCACCACTGGGAATATCTATAGTTAAAATTTAAAACATTATGAATTAAAATATGAAATGATCAAAGTATGGTTAAAAAGTCTGGGAAATACAGATAGTCTTTGACTTACAACAGTTCATTTAGTAACTGTTCGAAGTTACAGCAGCACTGAAAAAAGTAACTTGCATCCATTTTTCACACAACCGTTGCAAGATCCTCAAGGTCACGTGATCAAAATTCAGACCCTTCTGAACCGGTTCATATTTATGATGGTTGCAATGTCCTGGAGTCATGTGATCCCCTTTTGTGGCCTTCTGACAAGCAAAGCCAATGGGGAAGCCAGATTCACTTAACAGCCCTGTTAACAATTTAACAGCTTAACAACTGCAGTGATTCACTTAACAACTGTGGTAAGAAAGGTCGTAAAATGGGGCAAAACTCACTTAACAAATGTCTCACTTAGCAATAGAAATGTTGGGCTCAATTGCGGTTGTAAGTCGAGAACTACCTGTAATAAGGGTTTTTTTTTCCCATTACAGAGTTAGATTGCTTTCCATTCAACACTGAGCTGGCAGACAGATCAACATGAAATTTGTTGTTCCCATTTTTCATCCCTTTTCTTTCTCTTCTATGTCTTTCCCCAAACATGGCCCAGGATCTGACGTTCCTCCAAGTTAATGTGAGAACAACCCTATTCAACTTCAAGTTGCCCGTGGAAGGCTACTCAATACATTGCCTGATAAGAAAAATCAGCTCTTCCCTGTTCTTGCCACACTACTCCGGTAGTTAAAAATTTTTTGAAACCCACCACTGCCATAGTCACATGTTCAAAATTCAGATGTTTGGCAACTGGTTCGTATGACGGTTGCAGTGTCCTAGAGTCATGTGATCAGTTTTTGCGAACTTTTGACAAGCAAAGTCACTGGGAAAACCAGATTCATTTAACAACCATGTTACTAATTTAACAAATGCAAAGATTTTAGCTTAATTGTGACAAGAAAAGCTGTAAACTCACTGAACACATGTTTCACTTAGCAACATAAATTTTGGGCTGAATGTGGTCTGTGGTCATAACTCAAGGACTACCTATACCCTCCAAAAAATAGGACTTCTGTAGCTGGGGATTGATACAAGGTCTTTGCTTACCAATCTTAACAGCTTGACAGATTCATAATGGGACAGGTGTTTCCTTGGTATCCACATTTTAACTAATGGCCAACAGCCATGTAGAAACCACTCCAGATCTAGGCAACAAGTTTAGACTTTGCACCAAGGCATGGAAAGACAGGGATGAGAGACAAATACAGCATTGGCTTGTGTTCTGGACAATATTGGTCTGACCAGGACAACAGGTAAAGTGAATGAACATATAGCATTCTGGTATGGTAGTAACATCTCCAGGCATTTCCTGCACTCAACCATTGCTTTATAATGCAGACTAAAATGGAATGCAATGGACTTTGTACACTGGTAGGAGCACTGCATTTTGGGAAGGAAGGGGGAGAGGGGAGTGGAGCAACGTCTGTTGGCAGAAGATCTGAACAAGGTAATTAGAATTGTGACCTTGACAGCTTGGTACAAAGCAACGATTATGAACAAATGTAAAGCAGCAGCAACCAATTTTAAATACCATCTTTTCCCAGTATGGTAGTAGATCAAACAGATTTAAGAACTGAATATATAACCATGTATATATATTTATGTATTTAAAACCATGTATATATATTTATGTACTTAAAAATGGGCTGGGCTTCCATCACATGGTTGCAGCTACTATCCTGCCTTTTCTGGGGGTCTCTGTAGATGCCCCTGCTTTCTTCCAGTTGCTAGGCAACACGCAGAGAGAAAGCAATCAGAACTGCAGCTTGTATGACTCTTCTTACCAAATATGTTACAACTTGAAGAAGAAATCTTGTGCTTCCTTTGCATGATTCCAACACTGGATTCTGACACTGTTATTATTATATACAGGGCTTATTCTCCTCCTCCCCCCAATTTTAAAAACAAAAACAACAATAGGAGATCCAGTTGGGAAGGAGCAGCCTACCGTCCCTGTCCTATGGTCCCCATTTATTTGTACTCATTTCATGTGCTCATGTCCATGTTTATACTTATACCTGTTATCTCGTACATGTTTGACAAACAAATAAAATAAATAAAAAATAAAATAGATGATGAAAAGTTTCTTCCTACTTTTCTGTTCAACTTTCCATACTGTCACAAATGTCATTTTTCTTTCTCTCAAGGAAAAGATTCCAGTCCCCTTATTAACTTCCATTCAAGGAATGAAACTGCTGAGAGCCCCTCACTCTTTTGCTTAAATTTTCAGGCTCTTATATGTAATTTTTTTTTTTAAGTGTCAGCAGAAAAATGCCTATCTTCTCAAATGGTTGCATGCATCCTACCATTCTCACAGTAACCAGATTCTTAATAACAATACATACGTGTTTAAAGTATTGGATCCATGATCAATTTAGTTAAGAATCAGCCAAAGTGATTCTGTAGCCTCCAACAGAAATACATTCCACCATGTAGCAACTGGGTTGGGTGGGGGCTCAGGGCTTCTAGTATGTCAGGAGACAGATCAAAGTTCATTCAGTAAGTGATTATTACTGGATGTAGCTCAAGTTTGAAAAGAATCAGTTATGAAGTGAGATCCTTGACAAATGTGTTGATCTTGCTGAAAACTTTCCAGGACAAATATAATAAACCTAAAAGTTCCTGAGCAAGCGCTAGTTGGTAGCACTAGGACTGTAACATGTCTATGTTTGTTTTAAAACAATGGCTGCAGTGAGTTTCCTACAAATCTTGGAATAACAAGTATGATGGATCATATGTCAGCGTGTACCCATAGTTTTCCACAAACCTACTTGCCGAAGGCCTAAAAGAAGCATAACTGCAAGTTTTAAAGCTGGAAATGTATTTGATGGAAATTAAAGAGGATGAAATAGGATTTATTTATTTTTTCGTAGAGAGCCTTCTCTTCCACTCAGAAAGGCACAGGGGTTCTCTAGGGAGTCTTGCAACTCTTTAAATGCTTTTTTTTCTCTAATCTGAAAAAGAATAGCTGGAAATTTAATCTTTGAAGTTGTATTCCTCTAGATTAGAAGAAAGGAAAAACTATTTGTTTCTATTTTAAAAATCAAATATATTATTAAAAATCTATGTTAAACTTTCTGACTATGAAAAATGTCCAGTTTATTTCTATTTGTTTTTATTTACTAGGAATTTTAGCCAAGGATGCAGCTGAAAATTACATATTTTAAACTAGGGGAGCCATTACTGTTTGCTTCTTCATTTCAAGGAGTCTTGAAATCTTCAGAAATCTTCATTCAGAGCCTAATTTAAATGCTTGCATACTTCATACTCCACATACCATTTCAGACCAGTACTGGATTCACATAACATGCAAGCTCATGGATGGTTTTAAGCATGATTTGTTGAACAAGCCATAATCTCATGATTCACTCATAATTTCAAGCCATAATGTTTTTTCACTGATCACAGCAACTGGGTGCAATTATCATGCTACTCTGAAATATAATCCACTAAATTACACCTAACACAATGTAATGAAGAAAGTATAAAGCCTTAATAAGAAATATAATCACTCATAGAAGTTTCATAAATGTACAAAAGGAATAGTGGTTGTACTGTGACGCTAAATCTGTGATTTTGAGGTCTAATACATGCCTTGCAAACTGAGGAATTCAATATACAAGACAGGCAGTCTATAGAAATTCTGGTCTATAGAAATCAGGCTTATACAGGATAGAAAATGACAAAAGAACAGCAGAAAATGCTGCTTAGTTTTTCACCTTAGTGGAAGAACAACTCTGGCAGGCCAGGAAAATGTCTGTAAAACCTGTATCTCTTGTACCCCATTCATGTAAATAGAAGGCTCTGCTGTCTTGCATAAGGAATGCCCTTTGACTTTGATGAATCTCATTCAGCCTGTAGAGAACCATCAACATTTTAATAATAATAATAATAATAATAATAATAATAATAATAATAATAATTATTATTATTATTATTATTATTATTATTATTATTATTAAATTTATATTGCCATCTATTTGCCCATGGTGACTCAAGGCGGCTATCTGCAATAGGAAATGTTGAGATCTGCCTTCTGTATTTGTTGATTCATACCTAATGTGG